ATGTAAGTAGTGCACTAGTTTCGTAAACTTATGAAGTATTTAACATTATGTACGTTAGTACCACGAAAAATATCCGACAACAATGGACACATTGTGAAAAAAAACTCGTCAATATCAACTGCAATTCTCAAATGCGCCGTTTCGATAAACAACTGATTCATTTCAAAATTCCGATGTTTTTTAAAGCGGAATACATAAAACATAGACAGACAGGGAGATCAATACTTTTACAATAATTTTAATTACGGCCACGCCACGTCTATCGCAACCACTTTGAATTTATCAAGTCAAAGATTGAGTTATCGATCACCTACACCAATTTAACATATTGATCTTAAATTCTTACATAATACTGTGTTAGGTACACATGCAGTGTTAACGATATTTCATTTTGGAATCAATAAATAATATAAAGCGCTTTGAGGCCATTATGGACAAACGGCAATTGTTTGAACACATCCAAACAATTAAACCTAGTTAGTCTAGTTATTTTGCAACGGCATAGAAAATGTCTCTAATTAAAACCGAAAAGGGTTTATTAGGAGAAAAAATATTTATTCAATACGTACAAAGTTATTAAATAATTATGTTTTTTTTTAAATAAATTTACAATACAAGCCAATACTACAAGTCAAAACGAAAATTTTTTCACAAGTAAAGTAGAGATGAATTGTGTCTGCGTACTTGGTAACTTATATTAGGCCCTTAAATATGAAATTGGCGTTTTGTCGAACTGGCCACTTTGATCTCAAATATCTGACGTTTGGCTAGGAATTAAAAAATTCAAAATTTATATCTAATTTAGGATTGTGAATTTTATTTCTTTATTATTTACGAATACGAGTTCCACCGTGACACCAACGCCGCAGACACAACTCGAAGAATTGTATGATGTGTATGGACAATCTACTTTAAAAACAAACACGGTATATTTTCGGTTCCAACGTCTTAATTTTGGAAGTTTTGATGTACAGAACAAGCCCCGTGGACGACAGGAGACAGCAGGCTTCGGTGTGAGAAATAAAAGAATTTTGATTCACTTGAAACCAAATGGAAAAGTGAAAAAGCTCAAGAAACGGGTATCGCATGAATTGAGTGAAACAATAACAGACAAGTACTCCACCGTCACAAGGTCGAGCGAATTTTGAATCCTATTTTACTTGTGATGAATAATGAATCCTGTAAGACAATCTGAAACGCTCACCCCAGTTGTATAACCCGGCTAAAACATGTCCCGAACGAAAGCGTTGACTCATAAAAAATTGTATTAAACATTCACATTCTTTAAACATCAATATTTACAGTTATTAAATTTTCCAAAACAAAGAATTTTAGAACACCTTGTGTATAAAACTGTAACGTAAAGTTCATTTGTAAAGGTCACAAAGCATATGAATTGGTTGAATGAATTTAAAAGAGACAAAACATACTGTTAGTAGGAGAGGCTTGTAATACGACGCTGTGGCAACGAATAAAAAAGTCTCTGTATGTATGAATCAGTCAGTTGTAATTGTATAGGATGTTACAAAATTAGTTTGTTTAAAAAATATTTTTTTAAGTTGTTTTTTTTAACGTTAATATTTCTATGATTATTGGCAAGTAGCGTTAGACGTGTGTTCATTTATTGTCGCGATGGTAACGACACGCTGTATATTTAAGATATGCCCAGGCGATTACAACAGATCTGGATTATTAACGCTGATGCAAAAGCTCGCTATTTAACGAATGACCGCGAGTTGCTCGAGCCCACTGCTGCTTCAGAACGCAAGGCCATTCACTTCACGACAGACGGTCGTTAAATTAGAGCACCTTTATTGTGTATTTTCAAGCGAGAAGGCGTTCCACCTGTGTGAGTGGACACCGCCGCCCATGAACATCCGAAGCACCCGATGGTTCTGCAGATGCATTGACAACCTTTAAAATAGTGGGCCCGGTTAGGTAACAGCGAGTGAGCTCACTCACCAGATGAAACGCGAACGAATATACCTACTTGCTTTCACGACGGTCTTCTGTGAAGCCGTGATACATCCGTGGACGAGCATACCCATTCGCGCTACACTTAAAGCTGCAGCGTGGCCCTACCACAGTAAAGAAAAATTTGGACCATTTCTTGCAAGGACCAATTATTGTATTCTGTTCCGATGGGGCAGTTCAAACCGGCTACAAAGATTTTAACAGATTTTGAATGGCTTCGATTGAATATATTATAATACATTAATTTTTCGATTTACTTTGCCCATAAAACCTCCGATTACTTATGTAAGGATCGAATATTAAAACGGGCGCTCTTGTCTGGCACTTTCACGCTGGTTTATCAATAATGATGAGTTAAGTTGTTTGTTAACAAGTTTAAAGGGGCCGTTTGAGATGGTTTTCGGTGGGTGGCGCGGCTAGAAATAAACTAAGCTATTTGCTGGGTCGTCGGTACGGTTCCCACGTGGAACAAGTATAGTATGACTTGCAGGTAATTGTACTTGGACCAAAAGATAATTTTCCCTGATTTGGGCGTTTTTATTACCAAGTAGGTTGCCCGACATGGCAGGTGGCCGTGAAAAACTAGCACTAACAGCATGATTCACATGTTGTCCCGACTCCACCCAGATGTAAGGACGGGAAGATATTGAAGAGTTGGAGAGACGGATGAACGAGCTGGTAATTGAATGCAGAGCTTGCACAATCACCTCCATTTCTAGTATTTCTTTGCGAAGGTTGTGTATTACAATTCCGAGTATTTATATATTGAAGCCTAGTACATTCTTTACTTTTGTATGAATAGTGAAACCGGTAAGGAGAAAGGGTGTAGGTCAGCTACACGCTAATTAACTAACTATATTTCTATATACACCTTGTATTAACTGATGTTTTTGCTTTCAGTCCCGAGACTATAAAAGATTCATCTGACGCAGAACCGGTGGGCTAGCCAGAACCCCCGGGTTCGGGCCCTCCGCTGTGGGTAGGGCCACGCATGTGCTCATGCGTGCGTTTAACTATGGTACGTCATCTAATGGCCATCGATGTCGTGGTTCGGACCGAAACCCCGATGGCCGTCGACTGTGCAATTAGCTAATCGGTGGCGTTGTGTTGGTCTCGCCGTGATCGGAGGCGAGGGCGAACTAGTGTGTTTGTGGTTGCACTAATTGTGGGTATAGTGTTATCCGGCGGGTCCCCGGCGGTGGGTCCGACGTATCTAAGTCTCTATATACAGCGTGTTGTTACCATCGCGACAATAAATAAACACACTTCTACCGCTAGTTGCCAATAATCATAAAAAAATATTAACGTTAAAAATATCCATAATTAAAAAAAGAAATATTTTCCAAACAAACTAATTAAGTAAAAAAGAAACAAAATTTGTAACATCCTATACAACTACAACTGACTGATTCATACATTCAGAGACTTTTTCATTCGTTGCCACGGCGTCGGATTACAAGTTTCTTCTTCTAACAGTATGTTTTGTCTCTTTAGAATTCATTCAACCTATTCATATGCTTTGTGACCTTTACAAATGCACTTTACGCTACAGTTTTATATGTAAGGGTGTTAAGGCTAAAATTCTTTGTTTTGGAAAATTTAATAACTCTTATTTTATAATAATTATTATTTTTAAAAAGTTATCCTCTATATGTGTGTTCATTAATAGTCGCGTTGGTAACGACACACTGTATACCATTATATAAAAAACCTCTTAACTATCTAAAATCAAAATAAAGTAATTAATATCATATTTTATTCACTATCACTAGTATCTTTGTTAGTACTTATTATTAAGGAATTTTCTTCTGCAAGTTCCATGACGTCATCTAAATCACCTTTTGTTCACTAATGCCCAGTTTCCGAAAGGTCAATCAAAGCAGCAGTCACATAATATATTATGTCAAAAATGATATGTTATTAATCTCTTGTTAAACTGCCTTGGGTTTCTGAAAGGTTCATTCAAGAAAAATTAGCTAATCACTCTATCGACACTCTATTACGATAATGAATGAAATGAATTATTTGCGTCAAATAATACCAGTTCTCTCGTTCTGTTGTACTGTTGTCTCTTTTTTTTAAAACTAAGTCACTGTCGTGTGTCACCGTGTCCGTGTCGACGTTAAAATGCTTTCATTTAATATATCGCTTCAAATGGCTGTCTATGCGGAAAATAATTAATTAAAAACCTTACTATGCCAACGGCCATCGGGGGTCACGGTTCGTAACCGTCTTGTATAGGTGATATTTGATTTTTGCCTTTTAACATAACGCATTTTTGCATGAGCCAAGAACCGAAACCCCGATAATCATTAAATCAAATATTATGCTTTAGGTTTTTTAAATAAAAAAAAATTAATATCGTAACATACAATGTAATAGTGGAACTAACTTCATTTTTCCAAACAGACCAAATAAAGAGTAGCTAATCAAACTTTGATAGCTTTTTGATCAAGTAAAGAGGCTTCGGCTTCTTAATCAGTCAATAATTGCAAATCAAAATCATCGTAGTTTTCATGCGTTCTAGCATTTCAAATCATGTTAAGCAACAATTAATAAGATATATTTATTATAAATTAAAATTGGTTAGGCTTTTGCTGTGTGTAAGAACTGTGTACTATAAACAGTTCTCTCACGGACACAACGCGTGCTGTTGCTGTTTTTCTTTTTTGGAGAAAAGGGACAAACAAGCAGAAAGTTCATCCGATGGTAAGTGATAACGGCCGCCCACGGACATTTGCAACGTAGGCGTAGGGTTGCAGATGCGTTGCAACCTTTTAATAAAGGGCCCCGGCTACCACACTCACTGCTCGAAACGCAGAAGAGTAACACTTCTACTTCACGCCGGTCTTCTGGGAAGTCGTGGTACTAACCCGGATGGACCTACCCGTTCGTGCAACAGCAAACACTATTGCGTGGCCTTACCACAGTTGAACAGTATACCGTTCACAGTTGTATTTAAATCACACCGTTTAGATAAAAACACTGTAGATCGCTTGCCTTTCTCCGTTATGAATTACCGATCATTTATACGAACAAGAGAGAGGGTACGGGGTTAACACAATAAACAAAAGACGGGACACGACGGAAGCGTGTCTTCGACTGGCCAGTGCGAAGTTGAGGCAACGGACGATTGCACTGCTATGGGCCGTTGTGTCGAGTGCCGACTTGAGCGCGACAGTGTCCGTGGCTGACCTGAGGTCCTGCATGAGCGCCTCGCCCTGCGCGATGGTGGCCGCGCACGCGTCCAGGCTGGCGGCCCGGTGCTGGGCGCACTGCTCCAGCGCCCGCCTCGCCGCCTCGGGGCTGTCGTCCGAAGCGCACACGCCGCCGCCGCCGCGCAGCGTCTCCAGCCATTGCAGCAGCTGGACGAAACATCGCTTTTTTACATCGGAGTGGAACCGCTTGTCTCCTTGATAAAATATGTCAGTTATATAAACCTGGACACAATTGTTAACAATTTCACCTGGACCTTGGTTAGGGGGAAAATTATGAGAGTGAATTATTACGATGCGCGACACCGATCATGGTGATCCTTTTTGCATATTATGCAACTAAGAACTTTTTGATATTTACCTAATAATTCCAAGTTATTTAGTTTTGTGACGTTGTACAAGTACAACTTATTAATTTCTTACATAAGTACACACTTCGGAAGGAAGTTAGCGTAGATTTTTTTTTAATTAAACGATAATAAATTGGCATATCGTTTCATTAAAAAAAAATTCTACGCTAACTTCCTTCCGGTAGTACACGCAAACATTTTTTTTTATAATATTTCCTCGATAGTAATTGCAAGCATAACAGTGACGATGATGTATGGGATTAAATTAAGAATACACAAGCCTAGGGTGGCTTGCATATTCTGAAGATTTGGTGACTCTTAGATAACTCCGTGGCGCAATTAGCAAGGTATCGGCTACGGCGTCGGGGGCCGTAGGTTCGATTCTCACACGGGATAACTATTTGTTCGACCCACAGATAGTTGTTTTGAATCTGGGTGTTTGTCCATGTGAAATTTATGTTTGTAGAACTACCATACAACACAGGATAATGTTATCCTAAAGTGAGGGCAGTGTGTTTTAAAAAGTAAAAAAAAAAAACACAAAAATTACTCAGCCACATTAAAATGCGCGCTTTGTCTACACCACCTTCACTGCACATAAATAAAAATTGAAACGGAAGCTTTTCTCTAGCAACAAAACTAGCCGACGCGGTCACTGTCCAGTGCCACCGTCGGAGTGTGGAGCGGCTCGGCATCGCACCTCCTTCTCGTGCGTGTAGAGCAGCACGGCGAGGTCGAGCCGTCGCCGGCGGCGGTCGACGCGCGCCGCGAACGCCGCCACGTGCGCCTCCAGCTCGCGCGCCACGCCCAGCACCTCCTCGGGGTCGCACTCGCCGGAGCGCGCCAGCTCCTCGGCGGCCGCCAGCAGCTTCTCGGCGTTCGTGTACGTGTTCTGGGGCGGGGTGCAACATCTCGTTTCTATTGCTACACATTCTACTTGTTCTCAAAATCAAATGTCTTTATTCAACATAGGAGCATTGCACTCACTTATTGATAGTCAAAACTACCACTACCACCGGTTCGGAAAAGAAAGCCACTGTACTGAGAAGAACCGGCGAAAGAAACTCAGCGGGCATTTTTTTTTAAATAAGCAGTTTGACATAAATTCATTAAAAATACATTATAAGAACTCCGAAAGAACCCGGAGCGACCAGTTCATCACCAGAGTGTGCTATTATTTAAATAATCACCAATATTATAGTAGCCTTTAACACACAAACGTTCCTTTACCATTTTTTTAAATTTAGCTATTGATGCATTTTGAACGTTTTCTGGAATTTTGTTGTAGTAACGTATACATTGTCCCATAAAAGATTTACTTATTTTGCGTAGACTACTTGTAGGTAGGATCAATTTATTTTTGTTCCTAGTATTTATATCACATGTTGAAAGTTGTCAAGCGAGCAGACGGTTCACCTGCTGTTGAACGAATACCACCGGCCATGGCCATCTGCCACACTCGAGGGTTCCAGATGCGTGGACAACCTTTTGAAAATTGGGCTCCGGCCACCTCGCTGACCAGACAAAACGCGAAAGTATTATAGTTCCACTTTACGCCGGTCTTCTGTGAGGTCGTGGTACTTACCCAGACGAGCCTGCCCATTCGTGCAACAGCCGAGGCTATTGCGTGGCCCTACCACCGTGAAAAACATAAAACATACAACCCTACACTAATAGCAATTGCATCACCTTTTGCACATTACAGTTCATGGCATAAATATATTGTATTGCCGGCAATTTATACTTCTAACAAAATTTTTGATTTGATTTTACAGCAGATAATTTGAAATAGAAACATTACGACAATAACAGATTTCCTCTATTTGACTTACTTGTGCAACATTTTCGAAGTGTTCGTGAGATTTTTGATATATTCGGGCTTTGTGGAGGTTTCTTCCTATACCGGTGTTTTTCTGTAGGAACTGCAGACCGTGGTTTGACAACCAGTCCAAGACCTGAAACAAGAACAACATTTTTTTTTATCTCCTTCAGTACATTCGGGGACAACTAACTTGTGTAATCGCAAAACGAGTCGCCCGCACAAGCCGTTTATCGTAACCGACCTGCCTACAGTCCTCCTTGTAGAGCAGCAGCGCGAGCCTCTGGTGCAGCTTGAGCCGCGCCTGGTGGTAGCGCGCCTCGAGAGCCCTGTGGTGGCCGAGGATCTGGTGGATGACGGCGAGCACGTGGTTCGCGCCCGAGCTGTAGTCGGCGGCGGGGTCGCCGCCCGCGCCGCCCGCGCCCCCCGCACCGCCCGCGCCCCCCGACGAGGTTTCGCTCTGCGGGAACAAGGAGAAATCTCATAGAGTGCAATTGAACATTATAAGACGCACATGGGACGAAACATATGGAACTGTGGTAGAGCGTCTGGTGAGTTAGCTGGGGCACATTTAATTAATAAGTGACAGTACTGCTAATGACAGTGAGCGGCGGTTCTCGTTTAATATTGGGTGAGGCAAAATATATAAATGATATACACAGTCTTGAGCTTATATTTTATTTGCTATCACTTTGTTACTCAAGGGATAGTCATTTAAATTAAAATTCCTTTACAAATTTTAAGGCTTTTACCCTTAATTCTCGAAGTGGTCAAGATGGACCCCAAGAGGTCCGATTTTAGAAAAATAGTAGATATGTATGTAAATGTGAGTGGTTTATGAAAAACAAGTCTGAGAACTTCTGGTTCAAACATAAAAAGCAATCTGGATTATCGTTAAACAAAGAAGAATCAAAATTGTAAGTTCATAACTTAACTAAGTAGTAGTATAATGAAACATACCATGTCCGTCGGATCAGTCTGATGACACACTTGAACTAGGTGATCTAGTTGGTACAGAAGCTTTTTACTTGTGGAATGGACCTGGCGTAAAATCATATAATATGCATTAATATCATTGATTTGCAAATAATGATTAGATACAACAAAGAGGATAGAGAAAGAATGAGAAATAGAAGCAATTACATAACTAATTGTTTCGTACTTGTCCTTAAAAAGTCTATGGCTGCTACATATTTTTCGTAATAAAAGAAACCTAGATAGAACAATTTGATTACGTTCGTGGGTGAAAGTACAAAGTAATACTGGTGATTTATCTAAGAGTGGAGGGAACGAGCCGTACCTCCGTGTAAGCCTGGCACATGTGTTCGTAGAGCTGCCTGTGGCGCTGCGCGTGCTGCTCCAGCGCGCGCGGGTCGCTGCAGGGGGCGCCGCCCTGGCCGGTGGCCAGCTGCAGCGCCAGCGCGCACTGGGCGCCCCACCCCCCCACGGCGGACGCGTACGCCTCCGCCTTGTGGTGAAACACCACGGACAGCGACAGCACGGCCGATCGCTCCTCGAGCCCTGCAACACGGCACTCGTGCTGACTACAGACAATTCGTAGTCGTAACTCACCTCAACTTGGATTTTATGATGACCGACAGTACATATGTATAATTTAGCTATGTGTGTATTGCTAATCATATCATTCATAAGTAATTTTAACAATCTGGACGATATTCAGAATATTATGAAAGCAAGTATCATCATCATCATCACAGCCTGTTTGAGGCCCCTGCTGCACAAAGGCCTCCACCACAGACCGCCATGAAGCACAATCCTGAGACAAGTTTAGCAAAAAACAAACTAAATTATATAAGAAATAGAATTAAACACATATTATCAATCATGTTGCATATAGATATTGTCCTGTATTGTAACAAAACAATCAAATGGCTATTTGCCACATGCTTCATACATTCATTTAATTTTTTTTAAAACACTAACATAATAATATACCATTAAATCATATATATATATATATATATATATATATATATATATATATAAGCAGTGAAGCAATTGTATGCTCAAAAGCATCTTGGATTCTTTATTGTAGTTATCCATAAAGGGCCCACTCCCAATGGCGCTGACGAATTGTAATCGATTTCTTCTATAGAAAAGGCGGTAAACGGTTGCCCTTTTAATCTGGTGCTAGTTGATCACCGCCGCAGATATATACTTGGAACATAGGAGGAGTCACAATGGAGTAGGTACAAGCTCTATTTTTGAAGGTACGCTAGTCTAAAGTGACAACTAATAAATTAAATAATCGAATCTAGTTTCTAAAATATTTGTTTCGTTCGGCGTTCTTAATCTGTTGTAGGCTGTAGGTAGTTGCGTCTGCGTTCCATCCAGCGGCATGTGACCTGCTCACCGGCGGAAAGCTGTTTGTAGGCTCGCTCGAGCCGCATGGCCAAGGCGGAGATCTGCGACTCTGCGTAGTGCCTCTTGTCTGCTAGGCGGCGCGCGGCGGTGGTCACCCGCGCCACGCTCGGCCTGCCGCCGCCCGTACACGCCGCCGCAAACCTGCCCACGCACCGTACATGCAATACATTCGAGCTATGCTTTTTATCGACATTTAATTCAACATTAAATTTAATTGAGATTAATATTACAAAAGGATAAATAAAGTGACAATCTATACACGTCCCACCGCTGGGCAAAGGCCTCCTCTGTATGACCCCACCGCGGATTAGCGGACTTTACATCTACGAAATATTTTTTTATTGTTATTTCGAAAATATACACTTTCCTGAAAATTTATGTTCACGGCTGGGCACGTAAGTCAATAAGTCATTATAAGTGATGCTTATATAAGTGATGAGTGATAACGTGAATTTCATTGGTGCCGGCACCGGGGAGCGACCTTAGGTTCCACGAGTATATTGATTTCAAAGCGAGCGCCCGGACAATTAGATATCACGACTCAGAAGGATAATGAAAAAAAAAATTTAATTTCGCTCTACAGTAGAGCGGACTGGCATCGCCAACGAAATCGTAAGCTAAGGAAACGTAAGAAAAGACAACGGTTGTATTTCACAAAAAATAATAATTTAGTGAACAATGAAATAATGCAATAAAGCACTTAAGGTTACAAGGAACTATGGACAATTAACTGGTCCGTTACATGTTTCTAAGCCCCAACTCCTGTTTCCGGCGTTTTGCGATTTAATGATTTAGTTACAAAAAATGTTTGTAAATACATTAATTAAGTTATTAAAACGTAAGGTCCTTTCATTAATAAATGGTCTATTAAAGCTCATAATATTGAACTCGTACACAGTTTTGTTGGACGGCCTGCAGCACGATGGACTGACGACTTGAGAAAGGTGGCGGGCAGCGGTTGGATAAGGGCTGCCCAGGACTGGGATAGTTGGCGCAGTTTGTTAGTTGGCTTACGTTCGGCAGTGGACGGCAATAGGCTGATATTGAATATTGAATTGAACACAGTTTTGACGTTCGCACATTGGTATGGACCTGAACATTCGATATACTACACAGCTAATAGATAAATATCTGAAAGTTTATGTTCTTAGGTTTTGGATTATTGTTATTTTCGACCCTAAATGCCCTGGAAACACAAACTATGCCATTTAGTAAGAAATTTATTCTGACGTCTTCTAAGAAAGAGTTAAAGATAAAGATAATTATTGTAAAGATATTGTAATGCTTAAGGGCCTAGTTATGACGTACCGCGCATGTTCTTCCTGGAGGCGTTTAGCTGCGGCACAGGAGCGACCGATCTCAACGTATGTAGCTAGGAATGCAGTCCGATGGTTGACAATCCATTCCAGCATCTGCATAAACATCAGAGATAGAAGTATGACAGAATGAGCAATAGCATAGTCTACACGATAAAATGAAGTATAGTCGTTAATCATTTACATTAAGTACCTCTCAAGGAAAAATATATATATCTCATCATTTGTAAATATTCTTCAGTAATTATTGATCGTGTATACAATACACGACTGTTACGATCAGTAAACTTGCTTTACAAATATTGATACTAAAACAAAACTAATCTGACATATAATTTGCTACATAATAAGGATTTCAAATTATTTACGCGATTCATCTGAAACGTGGGTTAATTCGATATCTAATAAAACATGAAAATTTTAAAATTGTTTAGAATTAAAAAAAAAACACATTACAGTTACCGTTTTAGTCCCATTTTAATGTCGCAAAACGAAATTTACGATCTGCCTTATGAAAATATTGGCGAACATCTTAACAGATCGCTTGAAGCGAAAACTCACCTTTTCACAGTCCTGTTCGAAGAGCCTCAGCTGGAAGCACTGGTCCAGCTGCATCTTCTTGTGCTGCCATAACTTGTGGGCGTGCGCATGAGCGGAGCGGACAGCGGAGAGCTGCGCGCGTAGAGCACTCGGCGAGCCGCAGTGAAACGCCGCCGCTTCGACACCGCTCCCGCTCGCCTCGGAGCACGCCGCCTCCGCCGCTTCCAGTCTCTGAAGCACCCGCTCGCCTATAACCAATAAAGCTTTTAGTTTGAACCTTTTAAAATATTAAGCATAACATTACAAAAGACCGAACACAAGGAAAAAAGGATTGAAAGACGAAAAAGATACAAACTGATTCGCACATTATTCTACCAATCTTCCAACGTAATACAAGATCTTAAATTGAATTGAAAAGTAAAGCAATATTATATAGTAATTATAACGCACATGTGAAGACAACGTCAATGTCAAAAAATTTACCTTTGAAAAATCGCACGAATAAGAATAAAGGAAATCCATATTCACAAAAAAAAGGTCACTACATGTCATATTGACCATCATGTAATAGACTAAATAAAATACCGTACCATGCCTTTTAGAATGGCGCCAGCAGTTAAAACACATGTCTATGTGCGAGCATCCTACAGTCGGTTATGAAACCATGCAAAATTGGACTGAAATTGTTGTACAATAATGATAGCGCAGCCCGCCTAAATAGCGCTGAGCCGGTTCGAAATCGTTCGGCCGCGATAAATCGTGTTTAATTACTGCAAGTACAATACTGTTCGTCTGCGAATTATTCGGTTTTTTTCTTTGACAGACAAGGTTATCAGAGTTATGTAAGCTTCAAACATATTACCGACGTAGAAATCGTTGTTTTCGAATATCAAGAGGATTTGTTAAATCACTATTGACATTGTAAGTGCGGTGACTTTGGCAATTAAAACTACGCAACTTAATGATAGAAATGCAAAAACTAAGTGAGGCATTGAAAAATACCTTGTGACTCAAGTTCGTCCACAGGCACCTTGGCGAGGCGTTTGCTAATGTCAGCATGAGCATCGATGGCGCGTCGAGCACCGGTCACATCATCAGCGAAGTCGGCACGCGCCACGTCCTCTTGCAGATCGTCCAGACGGTCCAGCAGTTCTCCTGCCTGCCACATTAGCTCCTCCAAAGCCTTTAAACACCGTCATAAATTGGTTATTGCTAATCAAAATGTCACTACCTATATTTTTTCTTAAAAACATCAACATTAGTATTTGTAATATATGATAACATGTATTTAGGCAATAAAAGATTGGTTCATAGCCCATCAAAATTTTTAAGTGACAAACAAATCATAACAGAAATTATTAATTAAAGCTTACATTTTTACAAGCTAATATTTGCCTACTATTATTATCTAATGGTAAATCCCTATAAAGTTCTTTCTATAAATTACCATTGCTAAAAAACTAATAATACACAAACAATGACCATAGGGAATGATAATAATATAGAGATAATAGTACAGTATTTTTCAAACAATATTTACAAATACTTCTTTGTCATTTTAATATAGTTCATAGTTCAAACTACCTACTAAGGAATATATTAACTGACAGTACTTACAAGTCTTAGATCAATCCACTGTGCATGGTCATAATGAAGAGTACCATCCAAATCAGATGTCAATTGTGTGCTATCTATCACCTTGGGCAGGGCTTCTAAGCTAATCATTGTTGTCTGAAATAATTATTTATTATATTTGAGATATTAATTTAGACAGATTTGACATTTCTAATATCAACATTCACTTCCTTCTTTTTGCATATTCAAACTATTTCATATAAACATACCTCAAATTTGTATTTATGTGCTCCTATAGTTGTGCGTTGTTTTTGCCAAAAATTGTCAGGTTTAACTACCAGTGCCTGATGGACGGATGAAGGGAAGTGTTCTTGCAGAACTTTCAGAATAGGTTTTATAGCAGCCCACGCTGAACCTCTCATATCTATTAGGATTGTAAAGCCATGTGTCTTAACTGAATCACTGAAACAGGAATTATTGTGTTGTGATAATCAGTAGTGCCATAAGAAGAAAATAAAAAAATAATTAAAATCAGAACAGCAATAAAATTTCAAACACACCTGATGTTAAATATCCTTATCATATTATCTGAATCAAAAGATGTATTCACAAATCGTAAGAAGTGATGGCTTGCTGTAATCATATAGCTTTTCATTCAGATAATATGATTCAACTATTAGGACACAGTCAGTACTATGGTTGTATGCTTATTTATGTATTGGTATATGGTGTATTTTATATTTCTTTTTTCCTACTTAGTTATAGGAAAAAAGAAATATTTTAAGATTACAAAAATACAGAAAGACCAGACCAGAAAAAAAATTGTTTGTTTTTTACATTATTAACCATTAAATTAAGGTAATTATTAGCTCTTTCGGTAATTTAGCCATTTACGTAATTAATATAAAATGTTTGATGTTAAGCAAGAGTAAACACAAATTAAAATAAGTATTATTATTAGCCATCTATTAATAAAAACTCAAGATTTTATTAATAGATGGTGATAGCACAGATGAATAAATTTTAAGTAGAATACTATGTTAAGTATTAAAAATACATTACCTAGGTATACTCATAAGATAGTGCAACAACCGTCTATAGTCATCTGGTGCAACCCTGTCTCGTCTTGAGTTTGCAGGAAACCATATTATAGGCCCCCCTCGACGGTCCACACCACCTGTAAGAGCTGCTACCCGCTCTTGGAGGAGAGGGAGGACATCGAGAGCCCGTGCCCCAACCTCCATGGCTCACCAAACTGGTGGATTGAGTTAGAGAAGCCTGCATAAAAACAATAACATTTTAAGACTGTTTATAATCAATAAATTCAACAGTATCACAAGATTTCAAAAAAGTTTTTGTTTTTTTATTTATAACAATATCAAGATATTTTAAATAAATACTACATATACAGATTGAAGAGCAAAAAGTAATTTTGTAATATGTACGAGAATATTAATTCACTAACCAATAATGTGGTAATAATTCAATAAATCCAGTTATTTAACTTTCATATACATTTCCCTAAGATAATTTATGCGTAATGCCTAGACATTAAGTACATAAGCTGATTATTAAAGCTATCACATTGTTAGTTCTTATCAAAAACCGTTTAAACTTTAAATGTTTGTTTCACATAGCATGTTTTCAACGAAATCGTAAAACACCACAATGAAATTTAAAAAAAAATCAAATATTCGGTATGTATAAATATTAAGCACAATATGAATTGAATATCCTGAGTTTTGAAAACAATTTAGCCATTAACTATTTGTACAACAATAATAAAACTCAATCTTATTAAGGCCGTAAGACCAACGCCAAGATGAGACATGGGTGTATACAAGGGGACGACGCGATCCAATAAAAGTTGTCAAAATTTTAAATTGAGCTGGTGCAACAAGCAAGACGATTACTCATCAACATTGGTTGGTATATGGACGATGTTTTTTAATAATGGGCAATGACAAATTATTGTAGATATATAACTACATGTCACAACAAATAACCTCAGACAGCCATCAACTTGAATCCTGTACTAACCGTGGTGACTCAAAGGTGTTAATTAGTCAGATATAAAAGGTTCGGCACGCATTATTGTCTCGGTTGTTAGCTTCACTAATACATTTGTAAAAAATATATTCATTTGTGCTTTAAAACTTAATAAATACACACAATCTGTTCATAATGACACACTAAGGAACACCAACCAACCACCACAATGGCGCGACATCTGAGTGATGTTTCAAATTCAAAGTTTAAAAACCGATTGTAATTTGTAATAACGGCATAACGGAAACTAGTATTATAGATGTCTACATATTGTACATATATGTAAAATGTTAGTGTAAGTCGGCTAAAATTATTGAATGATGTAAATGTAAGTAAATTTATAATAAACTTATTTTGGAGCTCCAAAAAAAATCATGTATGATGTTCTGTGCAGTGGAATCTTCAAGGTCAAAATTGAGTAAGCCTACAATGAATAAAAGAATAATTCCTTGTAGCCTTTGGTTTAGCTCTTAGTGATCGTCAAATCGTCATATCGTCTTGTTATCTTTTTTAATGCAATAAGTATACAAAGCTATCACTATCACTATCATCATTGAATAGCATAAAACAAAGTTGTCCCGCTGTCTGTCCGTCACTATGTATGCTAAATCTTCAAAAGTACGCAACGGACTTTGATGGGGATTTTTTTAATAGATATAGCTATTCAAGTGGAAGATTAATCTGTATAATAAATGCATATAATAGTAGAAAAACATTAATAATTTTCAAGGTTTCTAATGTGATTTCGTGAATAAATACAATTTTTTGCATTTACAATGCAAACACTGGCAGAAACGTACGAGATACCTAGATGAAAAAATGTACTATAGTAATCGTACAGTAATGGTATGGTATATGTCTATCTCTTAACCCACAATAATAAATTTTTATCCTCTACTTTTTACGCGAAGCGATTTGAAGCAATACAGCATTAAGCATTATTCACTTCAGTACTTTAAATACATTGTACATTTAATCATGCATGAATAGATCAAAACAGCCCTAAACCATTGCATGTAATTGAAATGAATATTTTCAAAGATAATACAAATTTAAAGAACAGGGGTGCTCAGAACCCCTGAAATATCACTTTGCCCATGTCAGACCATTGCTACCGTTGTAGACAAAGTCCAGCCCTCTCGGCCATCCTCGAATCGAAATGCTAAATGCGCACTGAGTAACTGTCCAAGTCGAGTTCCCCTCACGGGGGCCCTTAAACCTAGGCTACTGGATGTTACTACGCCATGGAGCGTCCACCAAAACACCCTAAGAGCTTGGCGGCCTCCCAAGCCGGTGAAAATAATAATAATAGCGTGATGGTCCAAGCCGAGGCTCCCTCGGGAGCTCTCGAGCATAGTCAGCCTTATCCGAGGTAACAGAGGCTTTTTTTTACGTGCGAAAAATCCTTTATGGATCCCTCGCCGCTTTGTGGGTAGGCAGCAGGTGCATGTGGGAGTTACGAGGTACCCACTAAACGTTGCACCTGCGTTGTCACTCTTGTGGAAGGGACATGGGAACACGAAAACGCAATCTTCCACGAACACTGGCACGACTGTGGCCTTCTCGGAGACACAGTTAGTTATCTATAAAACAGCATAAAATCATGTCTGTTGTATGGCAACCCCACCTATTTTTTATTTTGTTTTTTAGTATATTTTGTTATATCAGTAACACAAATACATCATCTGTAAAATTTCAATTGTCTAACTATCACGGTTCATGGGATACAGCCTGGTGGACAAACAGCGGTGGTCTTATTAATAGGGTACCGTTTTACCCTTTTGGAACGAAACCCTAAAAATGAACATTTTTGAGACAGCCAATGTACGTTGTCTTCAGAACTATATCATCTGTCATCTGTCATATATGTAATAACACTAACTGCGGCACATGGCCTTGGCCAATAACTTAGAAGCAGAAGAAGAAAACTACAGCACAAAAAAATCATAAACCATCATTGGGTGCGGCCATAGATAAGAAATATATACTGAAATATATTGGGTGCGGCGGCGGTCGAAATGTGCGCCACAACGATATTTCCGACAGTGCGTGGCGGATCTTTCTCGACCGAATACATGATGTATACAATTTTTTTGTATTGATTCATAAATAAGAGAATATCTATATTTACTAATATTATAAAACTGAAGAGCTTTTTTGTTTTATTTCGCTAATCTCAGGGACGGCTGTTTCGATTTTAAAAATTCTTGCACTGTTAGATAACCCATTTATTGAGGAAGGCTCTAGGCTACTTTTTAAGCACGCTATAAATTGTAGTACATATGGGTGGAGCCGCGGACGAAAAGCTAATACTTAATACAAACGTGCTTTACATTGCATTACTACGTAGTCCGTATTGATTGTCGAGTGTTTTTCACCGGTTTTAATATTCTATCTATCTGTAGATTTGGTTACTAGCGCTATTTAATTGACATTAGCTCCATAATACTTACGTAAAAATCTATCTCCATAACCAAGCGAGAATATATTGAAAAGGAATAACTGTTTGATATTTAATTTCATCCCCTATACAACTCATACCGTGAACTGCCTCGCGCTCACCCTACGTGCTTGTCTGGCAACGGGTTGGAACTATCAAAAATGTCTGGCTAGTGAGGAAACGTCGTTTACTTATCACCCAAGTATTGTATATATAAATCACCTTTTGTACTCTAACGTAACGTAAGTATAGTTATGAATATAAACGGTGTCTGGCAATGAATAACGTGATTTTGAAGAAGAATTTTGAAGGTAATACCAAAAAATCGCCCTTTAGTACCGTTTACCTGCCAAAGCCATGGTTACCCAAACTTTATAATTTTCTGTCGTTCTTACCTGTCTTAGGAGCATTCGCTGACAAACTTTCAGCTTTTATAAAATTACGAAGGTCTGGGGTTCACCCGGTTTTATCCCAGTTTTCAGGGAATGAAAAATATCATTCAAATACGACGGTAAATTTCACCGAAAAAAAAAATGTTATAATAGCTCCGTCGGTAATCGGGCGGCCGCTAACAAACAGCCACAAAACAGAAGTCCATGGTTCGTATCACGATCATTTACACACTTATTTTTTTACTTTTTTTTTCGATTCCACATCATTGCTATCTTTATCTTTTATTTTTTGGCGAGTTGTTATTATGTTATTTTTTTCCATTTTTTTTAAAGTTCTTTCTTTTGTGAAAACCACCAGTTCATATTTTTTTATTATTACGTCGGTAAGGTCGAAACATATTATGCATATTTCATTACTTAGTAATTTGTATCCAAATGTAATTTCCAAAATACACGATTTACCAACAAAAAAGGTACTATACATATAGTAAAGTAACAGATGATCTAGAACTCATGATAAAGAAAGAGATAGCAGTCTCTAGACTTACACCAACTGATGTAAAACTTGAGTGCTAGTGAGTGCCTATTGTGAGTTAGACGTTATTTTACAGAAGAAATGCAGTGGCAAATTCACAGAATTGAGCACGTGATATTTCCTCGGATGAACCTGCCCGTACGGGCAACAGCAAAACTATGATTTAATATATTTATGTGAATTATAATTATGTGATAAATATACCTAAATCATTATTTTTTAAATGTACTTCTATATTTCAGTATTATTTGAAATTACACTAAAAGTTTCGGCTCAGACATAAAAAAATTAATTTACAAGTGAGATCAGAAAAATAGAATTTATTTTAATTCATATTTGTTACATATTTGAAGAGGTGGCACGTATAACCGACATAAAAATAGTTTATTTTACTATTTCAAATGTTTTCTAATAATCCTCAACTCCTCTATTAAACATCAACAGTTAAAGGTATTTTTTTTTTTTTTTTTTTTTTTTTTTTAGATTCTATTAATCAAACGTGGATATGGAACTAAAATATCTATATTATGAAAATACAGAGTTTCGAAAATCTGAGTACATAAAAGAAAAATATATGTGATCTTGGTAAAATGCAGTTACCGCTTGTACAGGTATCAGTACTAATATTTTACAAGTTCTGCCGACGATCCTACTGCGCTTAAATTGTCAATATTAATTATGAGTATAAACTATATTAAAAAAAAACCTTTTAATTATTTTCTCAGTAAACTACTAACTATATGTTTATTACTATTATGCTATTGCGATTACATTATTGCGCTTACAATACCTACCTTGCTTTTTGGAAACATTAAAATAATTATAAAAAATGGAGTCTAGGGCATTGAACTCAGCATTAATTTTCAAAGTAGCACTTTTCCTTTCTTTTAATGTTACCATTATGGTTCTAAACATGCTGAAGCGATTTATTTGTTCTTTGAAAGCTTGCGACATCGTAATTGATATCAATACAGATTTTCTTGTGTATTTTTTTGTTTCACATTGTCCCAATATAAAATAATAATTGCAGGAGTAAGAACAACCTACCAACATGGCTTCGAAGCTGCAGGTGCCGGAGCTGACATGTATGGACCCAGAGAATTACAGAAAATATTTCCAAGTTCTTTGCTGGGTAGCAAATAGGTATTTATTACAAAATTGAATTACTAAGTTGTGGGAGGGATACAAAGAAAATTTTTATATTTATTGAAGATCTTGGTCGTTTAATTCCCTGTTATAAAATATATAGTTATGTTTCTTTTTACTATGGGCTGACTAATGTTGACCATCCTACATTTATAAGTGGCTGGTAGGTGTTTGTGGTAAATATATTAACCCAAGAGAAGCCTGTTCACCTTTGCTTTGAAGATAACTTAATGAAAGCATTGGCTTCTTTCCATTCCGTTTTGTTATGTAGCCATTTATAATATCATACATTTAATATTTTTTTGTTATCTGAAAAAACCTGACTTCAAATGTATATCAGGGTATTTTGGAGTATTAATATATTTTTTTATTTATAGAAAACTTGACAAGAAGGCACAAAAGAAGATAGGGAAGAAGGAAAGATTGAGAAGATTAAAGGCAGCAGGTTCTGTGGGTGTTTGCTTTGCACCAGTGCTTTTACGGAATCCATCATATTTCGCTGTCTTTGCGGCAGTACGAAAGTCACTATTATCGCGTTGGCGGCAACTGCGCTCCGCTTATTCGGAAGGTTCTGATGATAGTGACAATGAGGAACCATCTTGCAGTCATCAACAGGTTCCACCAAAAGTGCCAAAGGTAGGTAGTCGAGTAGGTATTATAGTTTGATTGAATAGTTTTATAGCTACACCAAATTGCTTGCAAAAGAAACCTTTCTTTCCACCGAAAAAAGTATGTAAGTTGTGTAGTAACTTCTTTAGTCACTATAAACATGTTTTATAGAATATTTTACATGCACAAGAATTTTTTCATTGAATAACAATTTGCATGACAATATTGCTGTCTAAAGCAATGATATGCATAACATTGTGACAGCCTATATATGTATTGGTAAGATGAAACACTGAGCATTATGATTGTAGGTTTCTGTCCATGTGAAATTTATGTATGTTAGATATCCTATCAACACAGTACAATGTTCTATCCTACAGTAATGGTGCAATGAGTTTCAAGGGAAGGCTACAACAGATATTTCTAGGGCACAGTGGTAGTTCAGACTTAATACCCGACCCTTTCCCCGACCCCTTCTTGCAGTTGGAATACTAGTGATAAGGTCGATCGGTCGAAAATGAGCCTTGGTATCATTGTCAGAAAAATTAATAATTCACAAGTGAGAGTAATGATTTTTTGTATACAGGGAGGCTTTACGAAGTGTATCCATTTTTTAAAATTATATTCTAGACATAAATAATGTTACATATATTTAAAATCACTAGTCATCAATTAATTACATTCATTTTAACTTATCTCAAAAAGTGCGTGATTTATACGCTACTCATTTATTTTACGCGCGATCATTCATAACTTAACTAACACGCACACCAGTTCGTTTCAAAAGTATACGACGCATTTATGAATGACTACCGTATTGTCAACAAGTTCTGTTTTTTAGGGAATAGAATGGCAATATTTTTTTTTTAAATTCTTTTTATTTTAATAAACTATTATACTACCGCGTTTGAACCTCCTGTGTGAATTATGGGCACCTTTATAAAAGCCATCTTGTATATGGTACACCTTCAACCCCATCTCTATGCTTACTTTCTTGTTCTGGATCTGGCTGCCTATTTGTAGAAATCATATTGCTTTAGCCTTATTAGTAGATTTCTGGATCTTACTATAGTCTGATTTCAGAATCTGTTCTTTTTGAAAAATTCTCATCAGTTTTTCCAAACATAATTGTTATTGAAGGATTTTAAATACCTCTTTTGAAGCTTTATTTTTATCATTATATAGGATTCAAATGACTAGTATCGGGGGGCAACATGAATGCTATAGATTTTAGTGAATTTTAAAACTTTATGATATTAATCATGTTGAGTAAGCCTTAACTGCGTACATGATTATGAATACGCTTGAGAAGTCGTGTGCCTAAGATCTTTTATACATTTTCCCATAAAGATTTTCTTCGTTTTATTTAACAATGTGAATTTTTGGTTCAGAAAAATAGCCAACTTCGTTGTCTTGTTGTTTAAAACTAGAGAGTACTTAAAACATTAATAGTAGTGATGGGTCGTATCGCTTTTTCTGAGAACCGTATCTGAATCAGATTTCGATTTCAAATATCAGATTTCGAAACTATGTATTTTAATATCTAGATATTTTACGTTCACGTATCCACCTTAAAAAGTAAAGCCTATACATGTCCCACTGCTGGGCAAAGGCCTCCTCTATACAGAGGGTATTAGGGCATAGTCCACCACGCGGCCCCACTGCGGATTGGCGGACTTCACATATCTTCGAAAAATATTTTTTTTGTTATTATTTCGAAAATATGCAGGTTTCCTCACGATGTTTTCCTTCACCGCGGAGCACGTGATAAGTCAGCACTTACAAGTTAAAAACTTGATTGGTGCCGGCACCGGGGATCGAACTCAGGTTGCTCGAGTATATTGAAATAAAGGCGAGCGCCCGGACACTGAGCTATCACGGGTCTTCATCCACCTTAAATTCATAAAAAAAAAGTGATTGACAATATTTTTATTTATTATTAACACTCAATATTGTAGTTTAGGCCGGAAGAATTTATACAAGACATAAGCCTTGGCCTGAAGTCCACCAATGCAGCACGGAATTATTAAATTATATTTTTCTTTTTCGTTTTGTGTACTTTTTTTTTTCAAAAATGCGAATAAAATTTAACTCCTAAAAATTTTTCTTCTTAATTTAGGAAGAAAATTCCTAAGTTGGCATCCCTTACTATTACGTGCTTAAGTATCAATGCGCTCCAGGTCAAGGCTAAAGAAAATTTAAAGACATCGTTAATAGCATGATTCGTGTTTAAATGAAACAAGAGTTTTTTCCATGGTTATCTTGCTTAACTTATTCATAAAATCAGTTTGAAAATCTGATATTGTACATTGTTTGCCGTACCCCTCTAACTAGTGTAATATTTGTATCTCACGCGCTTTGTTTCTCGCTACGGCTCAAGGCTAATGCTAAATAAAAGAATTAAAAGATATAGTAATCGTTGATACCATGCTTAGTATTTAAATGAAACGGATCTTATTTGCATGCTTTTAAGAATCAAAATTACTTAACTTATTCATAAAATCTGTTTAAAAATCTGATATTGTTGCCGTACTGCTCTAATTAATGAAATATTTGTATCTCACGCGCTTTGTCGCTCGAAATCTGTTTAAAAATCTGATATTGTTGCCGTACTGCTCTAACTAGTGAATATTTGTATCTCACGCGCTTTGTCTAAAAATCTGATATTGTGGCAAACGCGTATGATGCGTGAGCGAGTATTCGGTACATCAGATTTCGGAAATATCAGATATTGTAAAATACATAGATTTTGAACGAGCTAGTAAGCGATTTTCAGATATTGCACCAAGTTTTCATATCTGATACGATTTGTATCGCCCACTTCTAATTGATAGCATAAACGGCTATACTCAGCCGGTACTGACGAAAGGAAGTCGTGCCTGCTCGAACTCTCGGCAAGTCTTTATATGCGTATGATATAATACTTCTTGTTTTAATTGCGTGAAACACTATTCAATCACTACTCACTATGCGATAAAACTATTTCACCGGCCCCATAAGAGAGAAGAATTACGTACTTGCAACAATTAATATGGTTTGGCCATATAATTTTATTACATGGTTTGGTTGACCCATACATTTAAACATCACTCTTAGAATTATTAACTTATTGCCTTTATTTTATGTGACAAAGTGGCAAATGAGCTGGCGGTTCACCCGGTGTTAAGTGATAACCGCCGCCCATGGACATTTGCAACACCATTGTAGGGTTTCAAATGCGTTGACACCTTTAAATAAGGTGGGTTTATTATTTAAACGTAAAAGGAAAGTAATGAAAATTGCACAATAATCCTTGAGCTTTATTAAATTGCGTTATTAAATTGTTACTCGTCCAAAGATTCTTATTAGAATAAAGAGCGTATGAACAGCAACCGCCAGTTACGTGTAATGTCAAATTCTTCAATATAAAATGTTTATGAACGACTGCCAGTGCTCACCGGCTGATTCAAGACTGTTTCAAAAGACATAAATTTAACTCAACTTATCAATAAACGAAAAACAGCATCATAATTGCTATTTTTCGTTTAATTGTTACTCTCTTGGTTTAGGTGTAACGATGAAATTACTATTTAACAACAACTTATTTACATTGGAGTTTAATTAAAGAATTAATATATTAAGAAGAATTATTATATTAAGAAGCTTCGCTTAGTTTTTTAAATTAAAAACATGATAAGAAAGGTTCAAGTAAAACAAAAAAAAATATTTTAAACTAATTTATTAACTAACTTATTACTAATGTAATTAGTAAAAATTATTAATATATTTTTTATTTTAAATTAGTTCCGATATATACGTGCTTAGCTTACATATTTAAAAATCGTAAGCTATATAAACGACTCATTGCCCTAACTAAAGCGTTATCGTTGCATTGTCGTTGTCTAAAGCATTCATTTACTTAACATTCTGTGCTGTCATATTTACATGACACTATTTTTAATGCGAATTGGTACCCATAATCTTGTTTGAATACGGAAATAAATACATACGGCCAGTTTCAATATTCAATCTACAGATAGATGTGGCTATTAGCGATAGGTATGACATCAACTCCATAATACTTAGGTCAAAATTCTATTTGTATGTGAATATTATTATTGTATATGTAGATGAATATTGAAACCGGCCGTAGACAGTACATTGACCTGTTAGGAAATTCAGATCAATAACTGACGCGTCAGTCGAACTACATAAATATATATAGTGCCGCGACTGTGCGCGCATCTCCCTACATCCAGTCCCACATTTCCTTTGCATTGGTGAAATAATTCCAGCCGAATACATCACGCGAGAGCTTTCACATGTTATTTTTTTTCTTTAATGTTTTATTCAACAATATTCATATCAAAATATTATTAACTGAATGATTATAATACTAATTATAATGGTTGTTTTTTGATCTGAAACATCTATAGCCGCACGTAAAACCGATTTCTGGCGTGGCGGCTATATGATGGTATATATATATAGTCTATATGCAGTAGTGTGTACGGTGTGGCGACGCGTCTTCATGCGCTATCGACTGTGATTAAACGAATTAAGTAGTCACGATTTGAAATAAATTCGTAAATTTTTGTGTTTAATGAAAATAAATGTTTATTCAATAAATAGTCATCGTTATCTGAAAAAAAAAAATTGTAATATTTTATTTTATCATTATGACATATTTAGTTCCTATCACAATCTGTTTTTTTCTGCATATTACTTTTACAAAATAATGTCGATGTTTCACATCTGCCAGGCGTCCCGTGACGGCTCACATTTTTGTTTAAGAATAACGGGTCATTATAGTTTTTTGATTGATTTTCGAATAAAATATGTTTGCTAGAATTTCGTTTTTCGTTCATGTACAATCCTGTCCTGTTAAAATATAATCCTATGAGTGTATATTGTATGCTAAGACAATATCGCTTAGGAGGTTACTCATCGGTACCTGTACTATAATAGAATTGTAGTTCCAGGTAGTATTTTGCAATAGTTCAGTAACGTATTGCTTACCATTTGTTTAGATGATAGTCGGACACTAGCTAACTTTCGACAAAGTTTTCAAAATTATATTACAGTTATAACTATTTTCCATAAAAAAAATGAGCGTGTCTTATAGTAGTCGCATATGAAGTACTTGTAACATGTCACCTTAGTAATAAGCAACATCAAGGTTATTATTCTGAAAATGTTTAATACCAAAGAAATTTAAAATTCGTCGCTGTGGCTATCCGCGGTTTAGCTCAGTGGCTAGAGCGTCAGGTCGCGAATGCCGAAGACGTGAGTTCGATTCCCACAGCGGCGATCTTTTCGTACTTTTTCTACATGTTTTAACGTTCAATCTTAAGTGCAGAGATAAGCACTATAAAAAACTTTAAAAATTTAAATCATTGGTATATCAATAAATTTGTATTTTTAATATGGAGCAGACTTAGTAATTAAATCAAAATCAAAAACTTTAAATACTGAAATAATTATTTGCTTAATTGTTCCATTATTACTTAACGGCATTTTTTAAAAATAATATGCATTTATTTTCAACATAAATGACAAATAGCTTAGTATCATTTCATGGCCAATACTAGCTTGGCATGCGCACGCTTTTTGGTTAAATTAAAAAGCGCGCGCTTTCGCGGCTTCCTATTACACACTTCCGTCCCTTTTTTCTAAATCACTGCCTCAGATTGGATGAACACGAGACGAAAGATTTTACACATTGCCTAACATATTGCCCACCGAGGTTTTGTTTAAGGTTTGAATCATCAAAATCATAAAAAATTTGAATCAATTTAAATTTTTAAAAAATTTGAAATTTTCGAATCATTTATGAAGAGCAGCGCAAAACGCGTATTTTAGGAGTAACACGCCCGACCCTTTGGGTTGGTAACAAGTTTTAGTTTAGCTGATAACAAAAAACGATAAGTCAAACAACTTTTAAGTAAATGAATATGTACCCGTATGAGAAACAGTTACTATTCTCCGCCGCAATGCCAAGAAAGCTATTATATAAAACACTTGCTCCACCGAACTTGGTTCAGTCTAAGTATAGTTTTAAAGCTTTGTCTCTTGAAGATTTATCTCTTATTATTACTTTTTAAGAGTTACCTGAAAACAACTAGTTAATTCTTTAAATAAATTCCATTCTATTCAAAGGCGTTCTAGTCTGTTGTCAAGTATTAGCTGGTCGAAGTGTACATGGTCCAACTTTCGATCCGACCGAATTGCGACCGACGGGCGATTACAAGTATATTTATATGTGCACAAAAATGGTCGTACCCAAGGAACACGTGTATTTCCCAGATCACCGGCATCGGGCTGCGAATGGTGTTCACACTCATATCGCAGGCCAGGTTCTCCGACGCGCAGTTCTGCGAGCACTCGCTCAAGGCGCTCCTGGACGTGCTGCAGGGCCATACCCCCGAGGAGATGGCCCACGAGCCCAACGAAGTAATAATACCTACCACGGATCCCATATTTTGTGCAAATGCTAACTAGAGCTTGGAACGAGCATAGTAAACTGGGTAGTTCATGTTTATCTTTCTACTGTTTCTTTTGAATTTTCGAACAAAATATTTTAAATGTAGACAATATGAAGGAATTCATATTCAGTCAAATCACTATCAAGTTGATACTGTGATATAATAACAATGTTTTTGATATTTTCAGTGAAGTAAAAAAAAGTAGCAGCCCATATATTGTCTACTGCTGGGCAGAGGCCTCCTCTATAAAGACGGCTGTAACACCCTCATTAGGGCATAGTCCGCCATGCGACCCCACTGCAGATTGGTGGACTTCACATGTCTTCAAAATAGTTTAATTTTTTTATTATTTGGAAAAATTGCAGGTTTTTTCACGATTTTTTCCTTCACCGACACTTGAAAAGTTAGTAGGTACATAAAATTGACAATTTCATTTGTGCCGGCACCGGGGCTCGAACTCAGGTTGCTCGAATATATTTAATTAAATCCGAGCGCCCGGACAATGAATTATCACAGTATTGCAATATTACCGATTTGAATTTAATTATAAAATTATCTGCATTAGCAACATCTGCTTTTACCAATATGACCGGACACGACAGTGTACAACGTGGCCTCAAATAGTGCAAGTATTTATAGATTTGCGTTTCTTCGATAAGTGAGGTTACTGAAGGTCCAAATACTGGTTGGTACACAGCTATAGTACCTATAGTATTAGAACCCCTTGCTTATTTTCCATCTCCTTAAAAGCATAGGTTCCATTTGATAATGGCCTCTGTTATAAGGAATTTTGTGACTTAATATGAATAAAGCTAACCGTGGTAGGCCACGCATCACCTTCGGCTTAGAGGACCTGAGTGAATTGAAAATGTTATACTTTTGGGTTTCGTCTGATGAGTGGGGTGATAGGGGCCTAAATGTATATTAGTCGGATATGCCACTGCCACCGTATAGGAGTCGTAGATATCCATGGGTGGCAATAATCACATAACATCAAGTAAACGTTTTTTACGTTAGACAGTGACATACGACTGGCGATTCAAGTGATTCTAAGTGATAACCGCCGCCCATTAAAATTTGCAATACCCGTAGGGCAACAGATGCCTCGCACCTGGTAACAAAGTGGGCCCTGGCTCTTTTACTCTTCCCAGACGGTCCTGCCAATTCGTGACCAGAAGACTGTGGCGTTGCGCTACAACAGTTGAACGTCTGCTTATCAACTTCTCGCATAAAAACCAATAGGCTTTTCCACGTGAAATTTATGTTTGTAATACAGGATAATGTTATCCTAAAGTAAGGGCAATGTTGTTTTTAAAGAAGCAAAACAACATATTCTCTCATTCGAAAGTAACTCAAATGGCTGTGTAGTTTCGCCTGATAGTTGTCACGTCGTCCTAGATAATTTCGACGCTGCACGCAATGCTGGTGGAGATAGCCAGCGGCAGCGGCCCCAACGGCCGCTCGGACGTGCCCACGGCCCTCACCTCCCTGAGCAGCTCCTGCCTCATCGCCCTCTCGGTGGCCAGGGGCGAGGCGGAGCTCATACTGAACGCGGTCGCCTCGCTCATCATGACCGCGCCGACATTGTCCGAACAGTACATGCAGGTGTGTCGCTATCGTTTACACTCTCACGACTGTTTTCGTAGTACAATTAATTCCCAGTTGTTCAATTAAGATCCCGTAGTCTCTTTGGTCAATGAATTAAAGAACACTCAATCGTGTCAAATTGATATCTTCCGTGATCTTTATTGTTCATACAAAAAGGGGGCCTGTACGCGTTCAACTATTCCCGTTGAGAAATGAAAGCGTACATAATTAAAAGCGACATTCACCTCGCCCAGATACCGACGAATTTGACAACGCTGCAGAGGAGCGTCCAGTCGGCGCTGCTCGGGGCGTCTGCGCGCAACCAGTGGCTGAGCTACGGGGTGCCGCACCAGGCGCTCGCCTCCACCTTCCCGGTGGACCTGCCGTCGCTGATGACCTCCGGCCCCGGGGAGCTCGTGGTGCGCGCCCTGGCCTCCGACGGGTGCTTCCTCTACGTGTACTCCTCCAAGGGCCTGCTCAAGATCGGGTCCGGCTACGGCAGCTCCATAAGGCAGCACGTCTATCTGTACAAGCCCGATTTCTTCGCTAGCGACCGCCACGGTTGGCTGGGGTACTGCAAGGTTTGTTTCTTTAATATTGATATAGATTATTTTCATAAAAAAATTTAAAGAAAATTAAATTTTTTTTACAGTGTTAATCTCTGCACCTAAGATTAAAAATTAAAATTGATGACGCTTTAGCCACTATCAGTCAGGCCGCGAATGCCGAAGACGTGGCTTCGATTCCCACAGCGGCGATAAACTTTTCGTACTTTATCTACAAATAAAAATAAAAATCGAATGAATTTGTTTATTACCATGAAAGAATTTATGACACGAGCGAGCAGTTAACCTAAAAGACTTACTTGATGGAGTCAGGTCAGACGGAGCCCATTCACGCATAATTTCATTAAAACCTATTATAATGATAACTTACCCAATAAAAAAATTATCGTAACTTATTAAAAATAACAGTAAGTAAAATATGTACGTGCAGAACAAACTGTACGTGAGGATCGGGAGGAAGAAACCGGAAGTGTACGAAGTGGACGAAGACACATTGGAAGTGAGGAACATGATCAAGCTGGATCCCGCAGCTCCATGCGTCTCCGAATCCAAGACCGCCGTGTTCACGGACGGAAACCAACTGGGGCTCATCCTGCTCTCCAACTATGTAAGTTTATTCGCCAATGAAAGGTTCTGCCTAATGGTTTACTAACATCTCATTCGAATGCAAGCATGTAGAACATGACTCTCAGATATGTTCTACGCGCTTGAGAAAACTGATAGTTGCAATTTGTTTAACTCTCTTGCTATAAGCATCTTCTCAGTTCGTACTCGGGGCAAGCCAACAACTTATGATTGGGGACTTGCTCAACGCCTATTAAGCCGATTAAGAGAGTGGAAGGGAGGCATAGGTGGGAGGAGGTAATTACTGTATTATCATCATCTTTTCAGCCACTCCGAGTATATTTTTTTACGCCCCAGACAGCGATACAGGCTATTTTTATGCCAGAAAAAAATGTATCGTTATCTTATTGGGTTTATTCTTGTTTTAAGCACATTCGAGGTTTAAGTGTCTAGATTGAAGTTCCGAGAAATACCTAGTAAAAGTAAAAGCCTATACATGTCCCACTGCTGAGCAATGAGCGGATTGGCGGACTTCATATATCTCCGAAATATTTTTTTTGTTATTATGTCGAAAATATGCAGGTTTCCTCAAGTTTTTCCTTGAACGCTGAGCACGTGATAAGTCAGCACTTAAATCAACATTTTTATTGGTGCCGGCACCGGGGATCGAACTCAGGTTGCTCGAGTATAATGAATTAGAAGCGAGCGTCCGGACACTGAGCTATCACGGTTCAAAACAGCTAGTATTTAATTATTATTGTACGGGATGGGTCTTTGACTTTATAGTGATTATCGATCTCCATGGAAATGAACAGTACAAGATTGGACCGGAGCAGAAATTCTTCTTAAGAAGTCTTCTTCTAGCCCATTTATAAAATAGTGCCGCTAAGCTATTCAGGTCAAAAAGTAACTATTTTAGGATTATGCTCTGTGTATATATACCAAAGTTGAAAGCTAGACAAATGGGACACTGCTGGGCAAAAACCTCCCTTGAAAGGGTTTTTAGAAAACAGTCTTGACTCCGATTTCGATAAAATGTTGGTTTCCTCACAAGGTCTTCCTTCAGTATTGGTCATATTGACCCTCGGAAATAAGTTAGCGATTTCCAATCGAGTCTTTGGCGTCAACATCGGAATTAGAATTCTCATATACGAAGTACGATCCTGAGCCACCTGCACCAATCGACTTTCCTGTACATTTCCACAGGTCTTATTGTTTGAGTACACTGGATTAAAAACGAGCTCCCGGATTCTTCTCTTATTTATCTACTTGATAGGGGGGGGGGGGGGCGACAAACTAGCAAGAGATTTACCGTAAGTGATAACCGCCGCTCATGGCCATTGGAATCACCAGAGGAGGTGTAGCAACCTTTAATAACTTAACTTAAGCAAACATAACTTTCGTGGCTTTGAAGATTTGGTGCTGCGGATAGTGGGTACAATACCCTTAAGGGGCCATTCATTCTTCCGGATCTGGATGCTATCCAAGGAGGATTACCGTCACGCAGGTGGCTGGTCGCGAAGAACGTAGTGAACCATTAGGCAGTAAAAAGAAGAAGAATGAGCAAGGAGTTATGAAAGGATATTTTGTGAAGACGCATGATGATTAATTTCAAGTAATCAAGATGGTATTGAATCTATTTTATATTTTTAATTAATCGATAGACTTACTACTTAGGCTTCGATGAATAGTTTGTATAAACAAAACTATAGTTACGTTAACTTTAAGTTAGAGGATTTGTATGCATAGACCTCGTTAACAAGCAGATCAAAAGATTAAATAAAGTATTATACAAATCAGATTAGTGTTTGTAAGCGAACGATTAGCAGATACCATTTGAAACAAAGTACGCAGAGGTCTGTAATATGTAAGTGATGGTCGTTTAACGAGATTAACGTTTTTTTCATAGGGCAGCTGCAACAATAAACTGATTGTGCGTGTGTATGGTTCGATTCCCATACGGGATAACACTCAAATAGTGTGACCCACAAAGATTTTTTTTTTCAAATTACGTTTTTTTTTGTCCACGTGAAATTGAAGTATGTAAAACTTCTTCACAGCACAGGATAATATAATTCTACAATAAGGGAAAGGGACGACTACAAGAGAACTTTCTTACTATCCAACCCCTGGCACACAATCCCTCCCCTCTGCGACAGGACAATCTGCTCGTGCGGATGTACGACACCAGCTACGAGCAGTACGAGGGCTCGCCCGTGACGCTGGCGCCGCGCAAGGAGCTGAGCGTGCACCTGCTGCGGCGGCGCACCCTGGCGCTGGGCAGGGCGCCCTTCGAGGACGGCATGTCGCGCAGGTCCGCCGACCTGGACACGCCCATCGCGATGCAGTTCGACGACAACGACGAGGACCCCCTGCTCGGCATCTACGCCGGCCAGGACTTCGGCCTGCTCACCACCGCCACCGGCAAGGTGCGCGCCGTGCGCGCCGTGCGCCCAGCTCATTCTGTCCTTTGGATTTAAGCGTCCCGTTACGCTGCTTCGGCATCGTCAGCGATTATATTTATTTAACAAGAGAGTTTCAACCCTCTAATTACAATTTAATTCTTATTGATATGTAATATTACAGAGTAAATTGTATTAGTTATATATGTTCGATTCCTAATGCGTTGGTCAGACCAAATTCGCTCCGCATTGAATTGCCTGGCACGGTGGTACCGTGTGAAAGAGGTCACGATCCTCAGGGGATCGCGCAGCAATATACTTTAAATTAATTATTAATAAATTCTTCATATTTGTTGTAACTTTACTAATTTGGACACAGGTGTACTACACTGGCAAAGGCACAAGCCTCGGCTATAAGGTTTCGTCGCCGCACATCGGCCGCTGGACCCTCATGAAGGAGACGCTGTTCAACAGGAACGAGCCAAATGTGAAGAAGTGTAAAGTCGTACAGGTCAGTGAGCTTTGCCCGCGGGTAGCTTTCTTAGTATGGTATGCAAACTTCGTGATGGCAATTGAAATTGTAATTAATAAATGTTGCCAAGTTAAGTTTTTTCAGTATTCTGAATTGAAGTGATTTATTTAAAATCTTTTTGGCCATTTGCGTACAATGGCGGACTTAACATCATTAAAAAAAAACCGATTAGGTGTTTTTTTTATATGTAAATGGCAAACTAGTTGTCGGTTCACCTGATATTAAATGATAACCGAGGCCCTTTTACATTTGCAACATCCAATGAAGGGTTACAAGTGCGTTGCCAACTTTTAATAATGTGGGCTCCGGCTATCTCCCTCACCAGACGAAACGCAGAATTATGACACTTCTCCGGGGTCGCGGTACTTCCCCTTCCGTGGTACGGACCTGCTTATTCGTGCAACAGACTGATGCACAGCCCTACCACAGTAAGGTGTCAACCGACAATTTATTAGTAAAAATAACAAAGTTATATGTATAACTTCCTTAGTTTCTCAGAACAAGGATGGTGATATCACCATCGTGTCTAGCAGAAGTGATGAATTTACAGATTACAATAATACATTTTATTTATATAGGATGATGATTTCTCTCTGTCTTACGAACAATATGTAGCTGAAGACAGTGTCCTCGAAAATACAAAAGTTTACGCTGTTACAGAAGCCTAGGAATTGTTTAACCTAACTTTTATAGTTGGTCAAGTTATTTTAAAAATCCGAACCATCGGGCGATCGTCGAATGTTCGCTTCCCGGGCGCTGTTTCTTCTTGGCTGTTCCGAACGGTTGCGTTCGTAACTGGCGGCCACAAATAACGATTATTCTGCAACGCCGTGAACAGTGTAGTCAATGTACCCAACGTGTTTCGCGTGCTCGTAGGCTTAATAATTTCTTGAGGGAAGTAGTAAACTGGCAAACATCAAACGGTAAGTGGTCACCGTCACTCATGAGAACATTGGTATCATCAGAGATGTTGCATTATCCTGTCAAGGGATTATCTTGTTTTCGAAGGTCTCTTAGCCTTATGAAATCTCAAACACCAGGCGACAACTGATTCCACAGGTAGTCGTGCGTCACGTGCGTGGCATAAAATTTTACTAACATACTACTATAGTGTATTGTGTGACTTGAAGTGTAACTCAGCGACTCTAACTTATTGAACATATCTGCACAAAATTGCCTGTAAAATTAAATACCTACGTTAGAAAATTCGAAGAGACGTTGCTTCATCTCTTCGCAAGGCTGTGTTTGAGGCGATTGGAGAGAAACCGATTGTCGATAATTCGAGCTGCCCTACTTTGTGTGCTCACCCAGCCTGCTTTACATAGATGTGAATGGTTTACCTGGAGGAATTTTTTTTTATTTAAAAGAGACGGCGACAGGAAAAGGTACACCCGATGGTAAGCGAGAACCGCCGTATATACACTCACCGCATAAGCGTTGCAGATTTGTCGAATACTGAATATTTGGTATACGGTGGGGCCGTTGTACGCAAACGGTGGCGTTTGCGTTCAGCCGGTATTTCCTCACGTTCTTCCCGTGCGTGCTTTGGCGACTTTGAGCAAGGCAAACGGTACAATGGCACTTTGTTCATTCGGGTGTCTTTGAGGATGTGCGCCATATATTTATAGATATTCAAGCACAGGATGGGTAGAACGCGGCTATATTTCTTTTATAAAAGTAAAAAGACAAATAACAGCCTATAAATGTCCTTCTCCTGGGCACAAGACTCCTCTGTAGAAGGGTATCAGGACACAGTCCACCACGCGGCCCCGCTGTGGATTGGCGGACTTCACATACTTTAGAATTTTTATTTGTTATTATTTCGAAAGTATGCAGGTTTCCATCACCGCCGAGCACGTGATAATTCAGCACTTAAAATTAAAAATATAATTGGTGCTGGCACCGGGGATCGAACTCAGGTTGTTCGAGTGAATCGAAAATTTGTCATAGTTATAATTTAATGGAAAGCGACTTTCTAACTTTGTACATGTATCTATATTCATGGCTATCACAGAATTGAATGCTAACGATCGGCAGGTCGCGGTGGGCCACGAGGGTGTCCACGCGATCTTGGTCCTGGACAATGGGACTGCCCTCTTCACGGGCACCGCCCGGCGCGGCGAGGACGGCGACAGCGGCAAACATCGCCGAACGCCCAAACCGACGCGCCCCAAGAAAATCACCAAGGTACTGTGCCGCACACGCTCTAGTGCCCTTATATTAGTTCAATCGCTCTCCATTACACGCGTAACGCGGCCGAATAACGCTTTGCAACGCAACAAAACGCGGCGGTGACCCGTACCCGTACCCGTACCCATGTATAACTCGAATTTACTTTCGATGATTCTCGGCATTCACTTGGTACCGCTGTTTGTTTAGGTGCGGTGGTGGGTGGGGTATGTACAGTGTAACGTAGTGGTATACGTATCAGTAATAAATGAGACCTGGCCGAGGACAGATACATAACAAGCGACTTTAATACCGCATGGGTTCGATTCCCACGCTGGGCAAGTATTTTTGTGACCGGCACACAATTGTTCCGGAACTGGGTGTTTATTCCCAAGACGGGAACGGTTCAGACAATCGATCGCACGTCTTGCCACGAGTAAAATTAACAACATGATCAACATGTTGCGTCAAACCCATCTAAGTCGGAAGCAGATATTATGGAGATTTTTTCATGTACAGGGGTTATATTTGCTCTGTTGTAAGGGAAGCCATGATTTTAATGAGATTTTATCTACAAGGGCGTAAGGCTTGGCGAGTACTTTCGAAATGTTATGGCATTCATCATCATCATCATCATCATCATCATTTCAGCCTGTTTTAGTCTACTGTTGAACATCGGCCTCGTCCTCAGACTGCCACGAAGCACGACCCTGAGCCTAGTACTAATTAGGCCAACTAACGATGTATAACGTCAGAGCTGTCATCAGTGAACCCATCCAACTGATTTTATCCATAAAATGAGCGAAAAATCTGGGAGTTGAACCCATAGTAGAATAGGTAGCAAGTTGCTTTGGTAACATTTCATGTTTGTTGGCTTCGACTTGGGTTGAGATTCTCTGCGCTCGTCTTTTATACATCGAAACGGTAGTGTGAAATAAGAAAAAATATGAGTCTGCGCTCTTGCACCGTTCACGGATGGGAACGGCCCACTCAACCGTAACTAACCTAATAACTAGGGTCATTTGTGGTTTTGTCATTTGCGATTGGTAAGCATGACGGCGATGCCGTGGCTTATGGAGGGTCCTCAGTTGACCTTGTTGATTCGGGCTGGAACATGCGAATGTGAATCCAAATTCGCGGTCCCAAGTGCAGCCGATGACGACAGAGAAAGGCTAATGGTAACCGTTAGTCTTACCCGATATGCTGAATGCTTTAGAGCAAAAGCTCAAAAGGCAGGTTCCGAATAAGAGGATACGCCTTTGAGTAAGGTAGGTCCACGTGACTGGATTAGACAACGGTCGTCGGCACTATCTGCTTTGGACGTGTCTGTGTATGAGGATTCGTAATTAAATGCTGGATAGCCCGACGAGTAATAACAAATATAGACAGTGCAATGTCTATACTCTTTTTGCATGAAAAGTTGGCAAGCTATCGGAATCGCCGGGTCTCAAGTGATTACCACCGCCCGCAGTCATCATTGGTTTGCAGATGCTTTGTCAACTTTGGCACCTCAGTTCAAACGCAGTAGTATAGTATACCGTTGGTCTTGTGTGATGAATTCTGCAGCGTGCCGGAGAACACACGAAGTCGTTGAATGACAATATTTTTTATGAACATGATCATGACTTCAGTATATTTAGTTATTGCCTAGTGCATAAAGAAAACATTGGTTGCTTTTAAAACCGTATGTCGTGGTTAGTCGTGAGTAATAAGAAAATAATTCATCATCATTGAATTGTTACTGTTCAATGGCATTAGCGGATCTTTTTAAACTACCTCATTGTGGGTTCGATTCTCACACGAGATATGAATCGCGCTGACCAATAAACAGTTATTTCAAGACATGGGCGATCTTCATGTTTGTAAGTCCTTTCGAGACATAGGAATTACAAAAGAGATGCCGCGTTTCGTAATTTTGTCTTCACTGTGTTGTGCTAATGTCCTTTGTCCGGAGTCTAAACGAACGTATGACCAGGTGGACGGCCACCACATTGTGTACGCGGCTTGCAACTACGGCTCCACGGCGCTGGTCACTCGCCAGGGCGTCCTCTTCATGTTCGGGAAGGACACTCAGCACTGCGACGCCAACGGTATTGTCAGCGGCCTGCGACACGAGCGAGTCATCCAGGTATTCGTGAAAAAAAGTAAAGTATCAGCCCATACGTTTCCCACTTATGGGCAAAGGCCTCCTCTGTATACTCGCTACGGATTGGCGGACTCCACATATCTTCGAAACATTTTTTGTGTTATTATTTCGAAAATATGCAGGTTTGCTCACGATGTTTTCCTTCACCGCTGAACACGTGATAATTCAGCACTTAAAATTCAAGGTATCCGTAACACCTTATAATCAATAACCGGCCAAAATGGACATATTTTGAATATTATCTTTTAATGTTCTATCTACTTTAAAGTGACAGAGAAAACGCAGGTTAAACAGCAAGAAAATAAATTTTATCGTAGGATTTTCATGTACAAACCGAAACAATACATGATACATTATATTGATATCACTCTTTTTATGTGAAAAGTAGCAAGTGAACAGGCAGTCCACTTGATTTTAGGATTTGGACAACATTTGATAGGTTGCACTACTCAGCATGGACGATATCACTCTTTTTATGTGAAAAGTAGCAAGTGAACAGGCAGTCCACTTGATGTTAAAGGATTACCGCCGCACATGGATGTTTACAACATTTGATAGGTTGCACATGAACTCTTTATCGGTGTATTTATATCATCATCATTTCAACTTGTTTCAGTCCAGTGATGAACGTAGGCCTCCATAGACTGCGGTGGAGCACCACCCTGAGCCGCCTGCATAAATACTCGGGCAATAAATATAATAAATATAATAAATAATAACGGCAGCAGTCTGCCTGGTAGAACCGCGGTCGCTAACTCGCTTGCAAGGCGTGGCTACTATGCCAAAGCCCTCCCTTATGCTACAAGTCCAAGACATGTGTATCGATATTTCTGAAGAAATGAAATAAAAAGTATTTTTTTTCTTAATACTAAGTATTGGTATAAATGTTTAGGTGGCACTCGGTAAAGCGCACGCCATCGCCCTAACGAGGTTCGGGCAGGTGTACACTTTCGGTATCAACAACAAGAGCCAGTGCGGCCGCGAGTTTGGCTACATCAAAGAGAGTGAGTGCTAACTGTATTTGTTATCGGTACCAATTACTATATCGTCGGTAGGTAACTATATAACATTTAACATGAAAATGATTTGTCTCTGTTCAATGAAACCTCCAAACATTTGCCGTTTTCACCGCAGAGATGTGCCCGCGGCGCACCAACAAGGAGGACGTGCGCGTGTGCGAGGAGGCGCACGCGTGGCTGGCGGAGTACAGCCGCGTGTGCACCCTCTGTCGCTTGTGCACCGCTTTTGGAGCAGAGTGCCACTGCAACGCGATGCCCATACGCGTGCCCGGCGAGTGAGTGCCTGCCACACCCCTCCACCATCCCCCACCACACACATACACACATTTACGTGCTTTTACTCCATTTCTATCTTGATCGCGAGGGCAATTAAAACCGAGCACGGGGCCAAAATCATAACATACACTTTACACTCTTTATGAAGAATTTGAGGGGACCGAGTAATTTTTTTTTCGTTATAAAGATTTTTCCTTATACAGAGGGAATTTTTAATTATTTTGTGCATGTTTTGGGATGTGGTGAAATCATCACGGTTTGATAGTTTTAAAAAATATTAGTTTTGTAAGCTGATTATAAAAACAATTACATTGTTAAATATGTTGTTGATATTCTAAATATTAGATATTTCTTCGTAAAGGAGAAGGGCTGTTGCTTTATAAAGAGTGAACTAATGTATGGGTTCTGTGGTGAATCAATCAAATTGAACTAATTTCTACGTTACAGAAAGATTTCCTTATAACGAACGAATTTGTAGAGTTTAAACTGTACACGTACTTGTTATTATATGGTTAACCACCAAAATGTTATATTTGTAACAAATGAAATAAATAAATAAATATTTTAGAACACATTTTTTTTACACAACGTTCTCTAGTCCCAAACTAAGCAATGCTTGTACTATGGGTACTAGAAAAGTGATAGACATACTGAAACATACTTTTCTTTTGTAAATAAATATACACTATACATATATAAACCCAGAAACTAGAAAAACACTATGCTCGTCACAGAATATTTTTCCAGTAGTGGGGATCGAACCCACACCCTCTGGCGCAGAAGGCAGGTACACTACGCCATTCGGGTCGTCGAATGATTGTTTTTGTATCATTCCGCCTTGTGAAAGTTCTCGTGTCTGCAGGCGGTGCGGTTGCGGTGAGGGCGAGGGTGGCTGCGGCACGTGCGGCATCTGCCGCAGGTGCGCCGAGACCTGTTCCACTGCGCGCCAGGAGAAGCCCGCCGCCGCCGACGCCTACGAGGAGGCGGAATCCGCACAAGCGGCGGAGGCGAAACACGGTCAGCGGTTTTGTCGACGCTCATTTTATGTTTTTTTTTCTTTAGAAGAGCTGGCAAACGGCCAAGAGCACTCGATGTTAAGCTTTTTACAACATGACGCAGTTGTTCCTTGTGCGAAACAGAAAATTGCACTTAAAGTGCTCCGTATAGTATCGAAATGGTATCGATGCTATTTTTAGCGGTGTTTATTTTTATTTATGCAAATGACCTTGGTTGAACGATTCGAGTATTTAGATAATTTAAAAGAATAAAATGTTAATGTCATACGATTGATAAACACAATGCTCAAAAATGATGGCAGCTTAGTTTTACCAACACAACGCGTACACAAGGAATACCCGCGTTCCAGGGAGGTTATCACCGTCCCCAGCCACCGATTAACTAAAAACACAGTCGACGGCCATCGGGGTCTCGGTCCGCACCACAACCTCGATGGCTCTTAGATGACATGTCGTAGTTAAACGCACGCATGAGCACATGCGCGGCCCTACCCATAGCGGAGGGCCCCTAACCCGTAGGTCCTGGCTAGCCCACCGGTTCTGCGTCTGATGAAGCTTTAATAGTCTCGGGGCTGAAAGTACAAACGTCAGTTAATACAAGATACAAGAAGCTCAGTTTTTTTCCGATGTTTGATTTGATATTATTTAACAATGTTACAATTTTTTTTATTTTGATGGTCATTAATAAAATTGCCAACGATACCGGGGAGTTTCTTACCGATTCCTCTCCGGTCAGATTTTTCGACCTTCTATAAGAGTTTAAATTAAGTCTGTTACGAATGAAGAAATTGTAACGTCGATGCAATTCATATGTCACGTCGCTTGTTTATCGAACGATTGCGATAAACAATGATGTGCGGGGCAGTTGTCGAGGCGGGCAGCGAGTGCGGCCCCTCGAGGGGCGCGGAGTCGGAGGCCGCGTGCGCCGGCCCCTCCGGCGCGGACGCGGAGCGCGACGCCGGCGTGAAAGTGAGCAGCCTGGCGCCGGCCCGGGTCGCCGTGCCGGGCGGCCATCGCGTGGTGGTCGTCGCCTGCGGCCTGCACCACTCGCTGCTGCTCACCGAGCACGGTACTGCCGCGGACGCGCTTGGGACCTCCCCCCCCCTCGTATTTGGGGAGTTTTGGGGGGGGGGGGGGGTAAAGTCGTTTAGATGGTATCGTTTTGAATTGACGATCCGATCATCGTAGAGGGTAGTGCTTCTTGCCCCAGAGGGTGTTTGCTTCAGTAGTGGGGATCAAACCTCACTATTCGAATAATAATTGTGTATATATGAGTTTATTCAATAATTTACAAAACTTACTAACGGTCCTTATCTGTAAATATAAAAAAGTCCAGTCCCTGTACTGAAGTCGTTATTTTTCATCAACTCAATGAGTAGAGTGATTGCTGTCGACTGACGCCTAGTTCTCATTGAAGGCGATAAAAGAGCTATGTGCTATAAATACGTCATAATTGTGTGTAAAACATTCGGTATAAGTCAATGTCGAGGGGTATACGAACACCACCACAATTATAACTCATTATCATTGTAATCTGAACACAGACTTTTCCCAAAAACTAACAACGAAGCATTTTCCCAGTATACTCGTTTTTCCCCGGCATAATTTTCGCAGCAGAATAAAGGTAACAACCGTAGCTCAGAAGTACATGCAAAAAAATGCTTGGCCTTCGATATGTTTAAATCTCACACGTGTAAAGTTAACGGGAACAAATATACACAGCAACTGAATTCGGCAGGCGAAGTGCTGGCATTCGGCTCCAACCAGATGGGTCAGCTGGGCGCTGGTGACGTGGCGGCGCACCATCGCATCGTAAGGGTGCGCGTGCCCAGGGCCATGTCAGTCGCGGCTGGCAGCAACCACTCCGCAGTGCTGACGCGGGACGGCGAGCTGTTCACCTTCGGGTTCTACCAGGTATGCCACTATAGCTCGGTTTTATGACAAAACAGTCGGCTATGAAATTGTCAAAGAGGTTTTAGAGGCCCTTACAAAGCTGTCCATGTAATATATTTTGTGAAGGTATGGCTATTTAAGAGAAGAATTTAATTTACAGGAAAGGACAGAACACTACCATCTGCGTTAATTAAAAACGTATGTTGTTTATAGATCAACGTCATCGTTTATGACGGTACATTGCGGATTGTATCCCATAACAATTTTTAAAAAAAAATTATATATACAACATTGTATTGTTCAGAAATATTTGTCAACTCGATTGCTTGATTTTATTTTCAGAAAGGCTCCCTCGGGCGACCGAGGAGCGAGGACCCCACCAGACCCGAGCGCTTGCCCCTGTGGTTCGCCACTCCGGGGCGGGTGCCCCGCCTGGGCCCGCGGCAGGCCTGCAAGGCGGTCTGGATATCGGCCTCGGGCGACCAGACCTTCGTCCAGGTCTCGCAGTCGCTCATAAAGACCGAAACGCTCTTCAGCTCCACCATCACCGCGAACAACCACAGCATCGGTTAGTGTTCCTTAAATCGATGCATTTATTAGTGTAATTTGATTTATTTTTAATTGTACATTTTTTAATTACTCATTTAATGACGTTTTTAAAAGCTAACCCTTTACTGAAAAATAAACCGGCTTTGTAGAGATAACGCGTCTATAAATATAAGAAGGAAAAACTCCCTAAATAGCGAACATTTTTCCGTTAGTTCATCTGAGTCGCAATCACCTACACCGATGTTCCTATTTGTTAGTTTCATGGAGAATTTCTCTTTTAAAGATTTACTGTTCATTTCCTTTATCCATTAAAAGCTTGATTTTTAACACTAGTTCTGCACTTAAAAATAAACATAAAATGTCTACATAAGTTAGAGAAAAATTTTGGCGTCGACCTAGATGTCGAAATATTCGTGTGCTACGGATATATACCCCTTACCTTCGCATTCAGATTGACTATGGCAAGGCCACCCACCACCTTCTGATGTTGCACAAAAGGGCATACTCGTCCGGGAAAGGATCAGGGCCTTTCAGAAGACTGTTGTGAATTGAAAGTAACTGCGAGTACTTTCGCCTTTCGTTTGATAAGGTGGCTCACATCTAGATGGTTATCAAAGCCTCTGCCAGCCATTAGGTATTGTAGATGTCCATGGGCAGCGGTAATCACTTAACATCAGGAAGACCAGTTTGCTCACTCAGCGACCATTCATATATCAAAGACTCTAGGCGCGTTATGTTAAGCATAGGTTCCAATCTTGGCAGCGACGCAAAATTCTTCGATAGTATATTACATTTTATTCTTTTCTCCTTACAGTGATTCTTCCTAATCGTCCAGAACACACATTCAAATGTATCACCATCAACAAAGTGGACGGCTCATGTAACACATGGACGGGTTCCGAGCAAGTGGATTTCGTCAACACTTTGGCGACCCTCGACCCGCTGTACGATGTCCTCTGGTGCTACCAGCCTCAGATGAGGGTCATGAAGTGCTTTAACATCCTGGCCTTCGACGCGAATAATTTGCAACGTTGCTTCAACGATCCAGACTTCACAGTGGACGAGTTTGAGTACCCCAACTATGGAATAATGAAGAGGCTGGAGGATTTCAAGGACTTGGAGACTTTCGAGAAGGCCCGCAACAGCGACGAGAAAGCGCCAGAGAATTTGGGGATCACGAACACGTCCGTACTGAACCAGGACCTGGCCATTCCCCACGTGCCGGAATGCTCCGTGACCAGGATGCACGCCGCGCTGCATCTGATTGGCTGCCTGGACACCCTCACCTACGCCCACGATCACAAGTGAGCGTCTACTTTCCTTATACGTAATTAGCAACGTTACGACCATATCGCATGAAGAATTTTGCGTTATAAAAACCATAAACGTAAATAACCAACAAGCAAGACGGCGCAAATCTAGAACTTCTGATATACAATATATGTAATAATTAGTCGACACTGTCCAGGCACAAGAGCACCAATGTTTAACCCTTTAATTACGTGCGTTTTGATTTACTTTCAGCCATAAAGCATACTTTTTGCTGCAGGCTTACGATAACCGAGTATAAGGAGGAGGCCACCGTGGTGCCCGTGGCCCCGATCATGGAGGACTTCCTGACTGTCAACCGTTTCGAGAGCCACGGCGGCGGATGGGGCTACTCCGGCCATTCGGTGGAGGCGATACGGTTCATGTGCGACACAGACATCGTACTGGGTAAGTGTCGCTCTCCAAGCAGCTTTCACATGGTAATGCTTCGCAAGATAGACTAATTCTTATAGAAACAGGGCATTGGTTATATAGCATATTGTCTTGTCCAAATGTATTAGTAATAAAAATGGTAGGCGACTTTATGATTTTTGAAAAGCCTGTTTATACAAATGAATATATTGTAATGTTATAGGCGGTTACGGTTTGTTCGGCGGCCGCGGCGACTACACTGCCAAAATCAAACTGTACGACATCGGTGTCGATGGCGGCGACCAGGAAGACGACGGCGAGGTGCTCGCCGAAAGCGAAGAGATCGTGTACGAGTGCGCGCCCAGAGATCGCTTCCCGGTTCTGTTCGACACGCCGGTGTCCATCACGGTGAGTTGTGAATTCTTTGTTTTGAATATTTTATTTTTTCCGTTTTACCACTGTCTATGGCCTAAAAGATAAAAGATGAATTTCTGTTCATCTTATAAAAACAAAAATCACTGTATCATTTCTAGGCAAGTCGATGGTACGTGGCTTGGGCCTGCATCAACGGACCCTCATCAGATTGTGGTTCGACGGGCCAAGCGATGGTGATAAACGACGATGTGAGCTTCCACTTCAAGACGTCCAAAAAGTCCAACAACGGCACGGACGTGAACGCCGGCCAGATACCTTGCCTGCTCTACAACGTGGTGAGCACCGACCAGGCGCTGCCCGCCCGCCACGTGGAGAAGTTCGAGCCAGTGATCGTGCTATCCAAAAACGTCTCCAGGAAGGTCACCGTTGCCTGTCTCAAGTCGCTCATCACCCTCATGAGGTGGTGCTGGATGACTTACAGGGACATGGTGATCGAGACCAACGGCCTGGTGCCGATAAACTACCAGAAGTTGACGACGATGAAGCACCAGAAGCGCCTGGTGTACGTGGTCAAGGCGTGCCTGCGGCTGGTGAGGTCGTACATAAACGAGATCTACCCGCAGAACAACAAACGCAGGAACTCCCACGAGTACATGTTATACTTCGAGGCGATAGGCGAGGTGCGCAGCTTTATACAGCAAATGATGTCGGAGGCGACGCCCACCTGCGCGATGCTGCCGCGCAGGCCCACCAAGACGAGGCTCCACAAGGTTTGCCTGGTGCAGTTCGCCCTGGAGACGACCAACTCCATTCTGCAGGAAGCGCACGACACGGTTGCCGCTTGCTATCACGCGTTCTTCCCGACGCCGACCTTGAAGTGGAACCATCTCTGCTCGTTGCTCTTCCAAGTTAAGGTAAATGATGTCATAACATTCGTATATTTAGTCGAAGGTAAAGGTTACTGTAGCAATATTCAATTTCGTCTCACATATCGATAGCGTGACTCTTTGGGGCCTTTGTTACTACAAGTACCGTAGCTGTATGTGTGACGTTGTATTTGAATAGGAATACGTTGGCATTCATAATTTATGGTGATCGTTTACGCTTAGGACGGCAACGTGCCGCCGGCTCAGATCCGCGAGCTGACGTCCACTTGCGCCGCTATGTGCGGCTCCCGGAGCCTTCTTGACGTTCTGCAGCACATAGTTCCCTTGACGCAGACCTGCCTCAGAGCGGAAGAGGCGCGCCGAGCCGACAAAGCCGAAGCGAAGGTTAGTAATTAGTTGTGGCCGTGAGGAAGGTTTCCGTGCGGACCGATTATTTGACGTATAAATTCCTTCCAAATGTGGCTGTTTATAATTCATGCATCATTCATTTTTTTTATGTATATTATTCAGTTTATTTATTTCGAATCATTTAGATTAGACATAGTTAGTAGATATGACATATAACTGCGTACGTATATAGTATCCCATATTAATCATGTTTATTTTTGCATGTTACTAATTGATATCGCTTTAGCAAAAGGTATTTAGTAAAAATTACACCCGTAAAAATCCTTTTCTATCGTCCCATCCTAAAACGTTGCTTTAGTGTTGAATGGATAAACAAAAAAAATTCGAATGATTAATTGTTAATTTTCGTTATAAGGTGCAAAAGGATGGACCCTCAAAATCGGCCACAGTGCCGCGTTCTTCGCACCCGCAGAAACCGCCGCCGGTTCCGCCAAGAACTAACAATAGAGAACTACAGAGAGTACGTATGATATGAAATAAAAATTAATCAATAATTCATACTGTCACTTTCTGATAAAAAATAAAATATTTATTATTTATTTTAATATTGCAATTAGTACTACATAATTGTTTATTTTTTATTATTTGGACTATAATCACGACAATTCTGATTCATCACCATCACACCATTCACACAGTCACATGTAATATAAGAGTCCACTGTTGGCATATGATCTTCCAACGGCTGCCATCGCGAGTGCTCATAGTAATGCTGCGTCCGCTCCATGCGTCGTGTGTGTCTTTAAGTAATCCGTGCATGGTCGTTCGCAGCGGCAAGACTCCGCGGAATCCAAGTCCTGTTACATGGGCTGGCACCTGATGGACGTGGTGCCTCGGCTGCTCGACATCGTGCTGATCCCGATCAAGCAGCAGATGATGACCCGCCAGTGCGGGAAGCCCCCACGACCACGGCGAGATCGCCCAGCAGGAGCGCCTCGCGCAGGCCTGCAGCAAACTCATTGCTCGCGTAATAGCGGAGCTCTCCCACTGCGCCACTGAGACGCGGGTAAAGCGTTGCTCTGATACCGATCATTCACGAACACTAGTACGTGGTATGGGCAAGTTATTAGAAAAACTATGAAAATACCGGCCAAGTGCGAGTCGGACTCGCGCATGAAGTGTTCTGTGCCATCATCAGAAATACATAATCTGTGAAAACGTTAACTGTGTAACTATTACGGTTCATGAGATACAGCCTAGTGACAGACAGACAGCCAGCGGAATCATAGTAATAGGGTCCCGTTTTACCCATGGGTACGGAACCCTAACAAAAGAAGTCGGAAATCAACGGCGCTCGCCGAAGTGATCCGACTGTGTGCCTACCAACAAAAACGAACCCTCAACTACAAATGATCGCCTTGACCTCTCTCCTGCCAGTTCTATACGACATACAACGATATCTATCTACTTATAAATGTGACGTTGAGCAATTGTTGCGGTGAGTTTAGAGCAGTTCCAAATCAATATTGATAATTGAAAACAGCATAAGTTAAACAACACTATAGATAAGTACACACGTTCAGGAGGAGATGGACACGAACGCGGTGAAGCACCTGATCACGCCGTCGCGCTTCATCCGCGTGAACCAGAACCGCGCGTGGAACACTGGCAACGGCAGCCCCGACGCCGTCTGCTTCACCGTGGACCGGCCCGGGGTGATGCTGGTCGGCGCCTGCGTCTACGGCGGCCTCGGCCACTACGAGTACACGCTCGAGCTGCTGCACGACGTCAGTTTTAGTTTGAAGTTTAGAGTTTCATTTAAAAAGTTAATTCGCTGTTAATTTAATAACTCGAGCAACGGTGCGGGCATGCCGCGTGGTTGACTATGCCCTGATACCTTCTGTAATGAGGAGGCCTCTGCCCTGCAGTGGTACCTTTAAAGGCTGTTACTTTTATTAATAATAGATGTCTGAAGTTTTAATTTTATTGAGGCTGCCTTATTTGTTTATGTGGCATTGCATTATAATTGCCTTAGCGCCCTTTTTGACCATTTCCCCTGGCATCATTTGACTATGAAATTTCTTGCCAGACCCATTTCGATTATTAAAACTTGTACAGTAAAGATCACTAATTGTGGCCTATTAATGCAGTTACTTCAATGATTTTACAATAATGCAGGTTCGTACCACCATCGAAGAGCCGAAACCTACACACTGTTGGGTCAGCGTCGATGTCATCCACGGCACATTCAACGGTGCCGATTGCCAGCACGACATGATGCCCATCAAATTTGAGCATCCTATACCATTGAAGGTAAACAGAACGATGTGGAAATGTTCTGATACAGTAGTTGTTCAGTGTGTTTTAGTGAAAGAAAACCTTATTAATTCTATTACTTGAAGTGACTTGGCGGTATGTATAATTTTTTTAATTTGCGCAATGGTTTTCTAGAAGTTTCTTCTACAGACTCACTTAAGTTGCTCTTCCCCTTTGATGACTGTGGTAAAAATATTTTCTGTAACGAAAATAAATCGAATGCACGCGCAGGAGGAGTACCGCTACGCGATCCGGCTATGCAACCACGGCGGGCGGACGGTGAACGGCGACTGCGGCGTGCCCTCCGTGAAGGGCCCCGACGGGACCACCTTCCACTTCGCCTCCTGCTCGCTCAGCTTCAACGGCACCACGTTAGCCAGGGGACAGATACCCTCGCTCATCTACTACGGGTACGTATCTGTCTGTTTTTCTGCGGGCATTGTACCGACAACACGGCATCGTGGGGTAGTTGTAATAAAAAACTTCATCGCGGGGTCAACGGTGGTAAAACTGTCTATGACTGTGTATTAAAACTAGTATATGATGTACTACTTTTAATAGCACTTATTCTCTGAGTGAATAACATTTTGTGTAAAATATTGCAATTCAACGTTTCCAAAACTTTTGCGATAATGTGTTGTTAGGACATTCACACTTCACCTTCTCGTGTTGTGTGTTCATTGTATGCTAGTTCATTTTATATGTTTTCACCGTTAAACTTCTGTTTACAAGTTTTAATGTAAAATCACTGACAGCATCCGATCGTAATGGGACTTTGTAATTCGTTACGTTGCTTACGTTCGTTTTGTCCGTTTCTGTCGCGGCGCGTCAGCACGTCGAAGCTGCTCACGAACGCCGTGGAGAGCACGGACGCCGTGCTGCACACGCTGCGCACGATGACGCTGCGCGTGGCCGCCGCGGCGGTGGAGCGCAGCGCGGAGCTGCTCGGCTCGCTGCGCAACGAGCTCTCGGCCGAGGAGCTGCGCAGGAGCGCGGCCGCGTTGCAGCGCTCGCCCGCGGTCGACTCGCTGCTGCCCGCAGTGCTCGCCAACCTGGAGGCGCTCGACGACACCAAGGTCCGTCGCGGCCCGCTCGCCAAGATGTGGGACAATGTGGGCGACGCACTCGCAACGCCTCCGATATTGTATATGTGAACGGGCGGTGGTTATACCAGCGCACTATACACTTTTTCTATTTATTTATTTTTTATTTTTTCTCGACCGGGTAACTACCAGACGGACTCAGAAGAATGTTGGCAACGCACTCGAAACGCGTCCGATATCGTATATGTGAACGGGCAGTGGTTAAACCAGCGCACTCTACACTTTTTCTACTTATTTTTTGGATATGACGTTTCCTTTTATCCTTTTCTCATCGTTCATTTATTATTATTATATATTTATATTGCTGCTAAAAATTTTATACTGTGCTAGCCTCAGGATTCAAACTCTGGATGCTCAAGAATGTTCCATAAATGGCAAGGGCACAGGGGTAGCATATTATAATTTACTACTTTGTCAACAGTTGCACAGAAAAGTGTTTTACAAAGGACAGTGGGTTCAAAAGAGTGCAATATGCGCGTTTGTTAATAAGCAGAGTGGTAAATGCAAATCGATAATCTGTCTGATTTCATTTAACTTCAATTATTCTTTAAATTATTCTTTTTGTGAGTGTTCACGTGGTACAATTCGATACCACGTGAATAAAATACTACGATTATAAACAGAAAAATATATTAGGCTTCTATATAAACAGAAGTCGAAACATTATTAACTAAAAAACGAGACTGAAGCCATGCCCTATTTCATGTCAATATACAGAGTGCCGTCAAATTGCTGGAGATGATCCACAAGATACTGCCGCACGTGGCGGCGATGAATCTGTTGATGCCGAGCGGAGATGACCTGGCCTCCCCGAATACCCACTACTACACATGGGTAGAAAGTGAACACCCATACAAAGAGGCCACAGTCACCAACATGAGGTAGTAATCTAATACCTTTAAACGAAAAATTCTTATATATATGATTCTCGGAAACGGCTCCAAAGTTTTTCATGTAATTTAGTGTGCAGAGGGTTTTGGAGGTGATAAGTTGAACTAGTTATTTTTAGAAAACTTCGTTTTATCCGTAGTTTCAGTGAATGAAAAATATCATTAGAATACGAAGGTAAATTTCACCACCAGACAGAATATTATGATAGCTCGGGCGGTAATCGGGTGGTTCTGAAACCAGTAGACCACGGTTCGGGACCAGATGATTTTTCTTTTTTTTTTAATATTTTCCCTTATTTTTCCAATGTTGTGAAAATAAAAAATCCGGTCATCCAGGTACTATTAATTAAGCCAGTTTTTACAGCAGTGTTTCAAATGAAGTTGACTACTGCAAAATTATAGCTAGCTCTTAACTGGTATGTTTTAAAAGTAGTTTTTGATGTGAAACTTCTTCAGGCACGTTACGAGCGGAAAAAAAGAATTGATTTTACGTATTCCGTTACGGTTCAGTTACGTTTGCTCTAATAATATTTCGTTACACGACGAATGTTGTTTTCTTTTTCAAATCGATAAAAAATCCTATTCGAAATAATGAAAACAAATTGGATTTCATAAAAAGTATCGATAACATAGAAAAGACTAATTTTTCACTCCTCACAATTTAAAGTAGGATTACACAAAAAAACATCCGAGAGCAACTAATTACTAACTTGCTTTACGATTTGTGATAATTATCGACATCAGAATGAATGAAAGAATGAAAGAATTATAGAAACAATACACTTTGTTATATTCTTTTGTAGAGTGCTGTTTCCGCCGACCGTGTCGTGGGTACTGCTGGAGATGGACCCGCGCAGCGTTACGGCCCAGCCCGAGGACACGCTCACGATTTTCGCCGCCGCCGGCACGCCCAAACAGAAGTGCCAATGTACGCAAGATGCACAAATCTCTGAGTCGCCCTTCCGTAAGGTATACAAGGTAGAAAATCGTCCATATTATCATTAACTCATTAACTTTCCGTTCGCAACGTACGGTTATAACTATACGGCCGGCCGATAAGCATTTGTTTTTCGTAATTGAATGACAATTAACTTGCAAATAGATATTTGAGATGATTACAAGCGCCGACATAAAATTAAATGGCGCGGTTAATTTTGCTTGCCTCGCGAGACTTAAACATACATTGGCTGTACTTAGTAACTGATTGTGATATAATTCGACCGTAAGGCGAAAATTTTAATAATAAAATATTTTAGAAAGTACATTTGGGCTTTATGTAATTTTTGAAATAAGTTGCAGAGTCGTATACGCTACGGCTGCATTAAGGAGAAAACTGAGTACCTAAATTGTATTAACGTGAAACATAATAGCAACCATTGCCATCATTCACATCATTAGTAACGCCAACACATTAGTTATAATTTTACCGTTAGCATAGGCACTCCCAGCCACTGTATTTATTTCATGCACTATGTACAAGCGTTACCTTCCTATTTGCACTCCTGACTTTATATACCGTAGTTAATCAATAATCTTCTGTCTAAATTTCCTTTGGCATTAAATTATTATGCAAGGGATGCTAAATCTACATTCTGAATGTTTGTAAGATCGATAATATAAAATTTGTAGTGGAAACAATTAAAGTTCTCATCGTTGCTAGTAATATTAAGATTTAATTTAAAGTCGATCGAGTGTAAGAAATAAAGGCGTGTTCGAATAAAATATTGTTTTGATATATTTTAAAAACTCTGGTGGAGAATAATAAAGCAAGCGTTTTAAAGGTTCGAATCGCAAAGGAGTACAAAATATTACGGACTATGATTCTTGTTGTCTTATGTTTGGTAATAGGCTTATTGCTGAAATATTCCAGATTGAGCACTTTAAATTTGAAGCTGTATCTATTGATATTCAATATACCATAACCGTCAACAGGGCTATTAATATTGAATTAGATACAATGTTGTTTTATATACTTACCACCATACTGTTAAAATTGTTACATTTTAAATCATATAATTGAATGTGACAGATGATATAGAACGTATGATATGAAAAGAGATAGCAGTCTGTATAATTACAACCTAATTACGCCAATGGACGTAATTTCAGTGCCTCAGTTTCGATGCGCTAGTGTCAATGATAATATCATTGATTAGATATGAAACAAATGGATGTTGTTTGTGACCCGCTGAGTAGGATTTTATAAAAAGGCGTGATTTTTTTTCTTCCTCAATATCAAACCGGGCATATAAAGTTCCGTGGACTGGCGTCACTATAACAAATGACAGAACATTCTCAAACCTACTAAAGTGTGAAGCTGCCGACGATCCTCGTCTCTATAATATTTTTCAAATGTAGATTATCCTTAGTACACCAACTAGTACTAGTACAATCCTTAAACACCACGCGACCCCAGTGCGAATCGGCAAACTTAACATGTCTTCGAAATATTTTTTTTTCTTATTATTTCGAAAATATGCAGGCTTCCTCACGATGTTTCCCTTCACCGCTGTGCACGTGATAAGTCTGCACTTAAAATTAACTATTTCATCGGTGTATGCGATGAGGATCAAACTCAGTTTGTTTGAGCGTGTCGAATTAAAAGCGAGCTATCGCGGCTCTCAAACATTTATCAATGTGGCGATTAAATTTAGCGGCTGATTCAACTGTCCCCGGACGAAGGCGAGCCCGAAGACCTTGCTGACGACGGCGATGCGGAGTCCAGCTGTACCCACCATAACCGCTCCTACATCAGCGTCACTCCGCGCCTCTCCAACGTGTAAGTTTCGCTGCGAAGCTAATAGCAGCGTGGTCATTTAACTCGATAATACTACTTTTTAATTTTGCCGTTTTTAAATGTCGTTATTTCTTAAAACGTTAATATTTGCACAATCTTATTCCAATGACTTGTTGCAGGGCCTCGGAGTATCCACAGAAAGCACTTTTGGTGCCAGGAAATGAGGTGATATTCTCATTAGAAACTGCGACGGACTATCTGAGTGACTACAGTAAGAACGAGAAGTAAGCATCTTCAAATGTAATGTTAACTGTCATATAAAATTTTTATTTTATTCAAATAAAGTATAATCTTTTGAGTGGGATGCTCAGTATAAGTAACAACTCAGTCAGGATTGTTCTTTTAAATATAAAAACATGCGTCTTAATTCTTCTATTATCACAATTATTTAACAAAATTGAAAAAAAATTGTAAGACAGGTTTTGCGCGATGGAATATCAGGAGCTATTGTACAGAGAACGGTCTGATGAACCGACAGATCATCGACAGATGGGACACGACAAATTAGGACATACTTATAGCAAACCGTCAAAGTTTAAAAAATTAACATTGCTGCTATACGTGTTCTAACCGTACAGCTTGGATAGGAATAAAGTTTCTACAGATATAATTCAGTAAAACCGTTAGCGTCACGTGGGGTGCACGAGCTAAATGTCGGAACGGCTTCCGCCGTGGGCGCTTCTCGATGCGAAAGCTCCGCCCGTGTTCGCAGCAACCGGTCGGAGAGCCGCTACGGCTTCCGCTGCCTGTGCGTCGGCTACGAGGACGCGCCGTTCACCAGCCAGCGCCAGGGGCTGCTGCTGCTCGAGATGGAGCTGGTGTACGCGGGCGCCGCGTGCGCCTCCAGGCTGCTCGCGCCGGACCTCGACCTGCCGCTCATGTCGTACGGTGAGTCGCCACCGGGCCACGGTCAGTCAACGCGAGCAGCCAAGCGAGCAGACGGTCCACCTGATGTTAAGTGAATACCGCCGCCCACGGACGTCTGCCCCACACTCGAGGGTTCTAGATGCGTTCACAACCTCACTCACCTGACGCAACGCGAAAGTGTTATACTTCCACTTTACGCCGGTCTTCTGTGAGGTCGTGGTACTTACCGGAACGAGCCTGCCCATCCGTGCAACAGCCGAGACTGCTGCCCTACCGCCGTGAAACTAGCTGACCGTGATAGGGCCACGCAACAGACTTCGCTGTTCCACGGACGGGTAGCTGCGTCCGGGTGAGTACCACGAACTGGCGGAAGAACGGCGTCAAATGGGAGTATTACAATTCTGCATATCGGCATTTCAACTGGTGAATGGAGTGAACCGCTGGGGTAACTCGGAAACCACTTTATCTAAAAGTTGGCAGCACATATTCATGCCTATTAGGAGTGAGCTATACCTGGTTAAATCGAGTACCTGTTACGCCTGTTCCTTAAGAGTAACAATGACAAATACCTGTTATTTCATACAATGTACATAACAGCTGTTACAGTATTTTACTCTATGGTGACGTTCGTACTTCTCTTTCTAACAAAGCTATTAGACCGATGCAAGAAAAAGAAAGAGTAACAATGTTCAGTAACAACTGTGACAATGTCATAAGCGTAAATAAAGAAAAGCTTGTGACCTGTTAAGGAGCAATTTGTGTGGAACAGAAACTGTTATTTAAGTTTGTTCGTAACAGGTAGTCTGTTATCTCGAGATACCTGTTACCATAAATACGCCTTGCTCCCAATCCTTATCACTTAACATCAGGTGAACCGCCTGCTCCTTAGCCCCCCTCTTACATAAAAAAGCTAAGCTGGTAATGAAGACAGCGGCGACATTATAAAACGTAAACACATGCAATTCGCCAGGGTCGTTTTCAAATTCACGGCCAATATTTATTATTATTATATTTATTGTTTCGTATTGCTTTTTTCATTAATTTCAATGTTAATATTTTTGTTATCATTGTTGTTAAAAAATAATGACATACTGCTAAAGAAATGTGCCACGATGACTAGTTTTTTTTATTTATTTATTTATTATTTCTTTGCTCTCCTAATTTATTGGACCATAACATTTACTCAAATAAATTAGAAATTAATATTTGATTACGAAAGCTCCACGAGCCGATCAGACCTGAATGAACTTTCTTTTTACACTTTTATTTATATTTTACATGGTTTTTAATATAAAACAGTAAAAATGAATATCGTGTTATTTCTCCCGCATAGAATATAGCAATGGAAAAGTTAATTGATTGATATTGATATTTAAAATTATAGAAAATTCTGTGACTACTGTTCTTTAATAACCGTCTAAACAAAACTAGTTTTGTGGTTTCATATGTTAACAAAATCGTAACTGTAATCTCTGCACTTCAGATGAAATATTAAAATTTGTAGAAAAAATACGTGCGGTTGAATTCAGAAAGCTCCTTTTTTGAAGTCGGTTACAAATGACTGTTGACTGCGACGCAGTTACCGAGGTAATGGCTTCGATGTCGTTCGGGTCGTGGGTTCGATTCCCACACAGGATAACTATTTGTGTGACCGACAGATTGTTTAGGATCTGCGTGTTTGTCCAACGTGAAATTTATGTATGTGAAACGACCTTACTATACAGGGTAATATTATTCTACGCTAAGGACAAAGATAAAATAAAAACAACAAATAGCAATGGCGACATTCCTCGGTCGATTTATCTTTGTAAAACGATTTTTGAAAATGTTTGCTTGCTGCAAAGGAGATAGCAATAGATACACTACATTGATATACAGCATTGCTGAAAATGCGAAATAACCGCCCAAGTGCGAGTCGAATTCGTCGTATGGGAGCCCCACTTAAGTAATTTTTAATCTGTTTTTTAGTACTTGTTGTTATAGCGGTAACAGAAATACATCATCTGTGAAATTTCAACTGTCTAATTATTACACTTCGTGAGATACAGCCTGGTTAGAGACGGGCAGACAGACAGACATCGAAGTCTTAGTAAAAGGGTCTTGTTTTACCCTTTGGGTACGGAACCCTAAAAACCGACCGAGCCTGAGTCGGACTCCATTCTTTCTAGTGTGTAATTGTATTTGTATGAGCGGCCATAGAACTCAAAGGAATATATTAATTGGCAACTATGTATGTAGGGGGTCTTTAATTTTCAACTTTTTTATTATATGAAATTTTTACTTTTTTTGTGCTGAAAGACCTTGCTTTTTTGCCAAATTTCGTGGTTCTAGGTCAATGGACACATAACATATAACACAGGTTTTCGACCCAAAACATATAGGGTACTTCCGTTTGACCTAGAATTGTCAAATTTGTTAAAAGCGAGGTCTTGCAGCACAAGTTAAGTTAAAATTTCGTACTTACCACATTTCACGAAAATCTAAAATTTCCCCATATCTTTTTATCGTGTTCACTCAGGACCACTTGATTGTTTGTACGCCTAATATGGACTATAGACTTAAGTATCTGGTATAAATTTCAACTTGCTACGTTCCTGAGAAAATCCGTGGACACGACACGGACAGATGAATAAGTGACTTTTGTTGTATGGAACCATAAAAACGATTTAGATTGAACACGATGAGATTTTCGTCGGCGCGGCAATCAGCCGCTTAGCTTAGTGGTTAAAACGTCTGAATGCGAAACCTGAAGTCGTGGGTTCGATTTCCGCAGCGATGAAAAACTTTTCGTCCATTTTTCCACAATTTATATTATACATTTGAGATTAGCACAAAGAAAATTAAACAAAAAACGTTTGTAAGTCGACGTGAGCTCTCAAGTAGCCGCGAACCATACTCTTTTCCTCGAGAGTCCCTTTAAAAATTGTTCAATAAATTATTATGTAATTAGTCTGAATAACTGTAAAATCAGCCTTCAGTATCGCTGTGGTGTTAAGATCCCGCTTAATAGTTTAGGAAATGGTGCAAATGCTGAACAACACAGAATACCATTATTTTAAAGTAATATACAATTTTCTAGTTTCGCCGAAGTGTGAGATGAAATCTTTGTATGACTCAGTGCGTATCTGCCATGATGCCTACCGCTACACTGTATACGTGATCAAAATGTATCCGTGCAGGTGTGAGGAGGTCCATTGTGATCTCGAAAGGCCCATATGGAATACTAAGAAGCGTTAGGTGACAATATAATTCGCACTGTAAAAGTCTATAGCGTAAATTATTTGTTTTGTAAGTTTTACATCATCTCCATAGTCTCACGATGATATTGGTGAGTTACAGATACAACTAGAACAGAATTATGAAAAACTTAAAATTAACAACAAAACGGACACCGCTCCGTCATGTTTTACAATTTTTTTACTGTGATCGACAAGACCAAAACAAGATAATCAGGTTCGGGGAAAATTAATGTATTTATAACTCTCTATTGTGCGCCTGAGAGACAATTAATTAATTATCGGTTCGGCGGCAAGTATCGATACTAGTTAATCAAATTGCCCTTTAATGTACTCTAAAGGTCACGCGTGTACTCGTAATGGACGCAAATAACTAGGGAACTTTGAAATATGGGGTGAATTCTATAGTTTATAAAAGTTTCAAAGGTCGCTTGAAACGATTTCCATTAAAATTTACAGGGAAAAACGACTTTTACAAATTCATAGGAAAAATGTTTTTATTTTTTCTTTACTCTTGTGCTTAACTTGTACTTGCGTGCTGTAACTTGCAGAGGTACCTAATGCTACGGTCTCTGAGGAACTTTACAATGTCTTTGGACGTTTGCACGATCTCTGACATTAGTCTAAATATGGGCTATAACAATGGCGTTCTTTCATGATTGTGACTTATTTTATTATAATCACAATTAATGAACATCACCGCAGTGGTCATCATCATCATCATTTCAGCCCGTTCAAATCTACTGCCCGACATAGGCCTCGCCAACAGTCTGCCGGGAAGCATGGTCGCTTACCAGGCCTCTATGGCGGAACGTCCATATAATTTCGAACCGTTATTTTGGATTAACATGCGAACGTTACCCCAGTGACCCTCGCCGACATCCAACACCTGACGACGTGGGGAGGGCCGAGGGAGGGGGAGCCGCCCGTCGACAGTAACGAGATGATGTTCATCATGCGCGGCCTGGAGTTGTCCTCGCCGCCCACCATCCATCAGGTCCTCGACGGGCAGCCGCTGTCGCGGTAAGTCCGCTCCCCATAGCCTCTTGGGGGCAATACTTTGGCGCTCTCTCCAACATCGCCGTTCGTGGCACAGTTCGCTTTGATAAAGGTAAGTCGTAATTTAGTTTAAAGTGAGTTAGAAAAATATATTGCCCTCTTTTACGGACGTCGTTCATATGTTAACTTTATGAATTCAGCACGTGATGAGCCGGGCCGTAGGTAATATCTAGTCAGTGCTATATGGAGATGCATATTTGATCCAGACCTTGCAATAAAAGCACGAAGAACGCAATAAAAATATAGATTAAATAATGTGCCATGCGCAGAAATAATTACAATTATGTTATGGGTCCAATTCTGGGCCGAGTTTGCTCCTTGAATATTGTAAAATACGTATCATGTTGGCCACTGAGCGACAATGTATTAAAATAGGTACATAAATGTATTATACTATAAGTTATATAATGGATATAATTGCGCGTGCAACGTTGTCAATCGCAAGCGTATGTAATTAGCTTCACTTTGTAATAATTATCACGGTTCAAATGTATAACGAATAAAGGCTGTGTGTGTGCTGTGTTAATTATTTATTAATTGTAAAAAAGTTATCGGTACGAGTGTAGTATATGTGCAAATTGTAATAAATAAAATGATCTCGTGTCAAGTGTTATTCAATAATGATAAAACATTTCCATTACACAATAATATTATGAACGATTCACTCAAAGCTTACATTCGCCTTAGCGTTAAGATATTATTTATTGTATGTTCATAATTATGCGTGTAGTTTTAATGCTTTTGGCGAAAATGCAAGCAAGTCCTGTTGTGGGCGAAGGCGGTGCGGCGTTTCTTAGCATCCATCATTGGCATCCAAGGGTTCTACTGCAGATGGGCAGCCTGGACTGAAACTTCCAAGTCACGTTCGCTAAACGTCACAGTTGCGCAAGCAATTGTCATCGCATAGCATAAAAACATCCTAGATATCTAGTTCATGTACAGACTAAACGGAGTCGGCACGAGGTGAACGCGTTGGATCTTCACAAATACATCGCTAGCAACGTTTCATAATCTTTATTAAGTTATATTATAATAAAAGCATTTCACTGTGTTTTTAATGCGCGAACACACACCATCGCGCAGTTTCACGCCGTGTATAATACTGATGAATTTTTAAAACTAAACTTGGCACATTTTTCACTGACGGTATTCTGAGGTAGGGCACTAAACTAGTGGGCCACGCTGTGGCAGCGGTCAATTGAGCTAATGGAACACACACCGATCATAAATCAGTGGTGAGGAGCTCTGCTCTCTCCACCACGATATGGAACTCTGTCTCTCTGTAGGTCTTGCCGTCCGGCATCACTATTTGCAACTTCTTCTTCTTCTCGTTGTCACGCTTCACTATGAAGAATATCGCGACAGCGGCGGCGACGGCGACCATTAGCAAGCCCACCACCACATATATCCAAAAGTTCTGTTTGAACGAGCCGCACCGGCTGTCCACGTAGGTCGGCAGCGACATGTAGTGGCCCTCCAGCGCGTACCAGCAGCTGATGATCCCGCCCTGCTCCTTGGCCACCTGCCGCCATCGCTCGGCCAGCTCACAGTCGCACGTCACGTTAATGTTTAAGCCGTCAACGCGCAACGTCAAAGCCGTTCGGTTGTACAGGAGAGACGACGGGGTCAGATATGTGACGGTGTTGTTGTCTAGCAGCAGCTCCTGGCGGCCGAGCGTCGCCACCACGTCGGCCTCCACGGCGAACCCGAACACGGCGCCCTTGCGCAGCGCGTTGATCGTGTTATTCCTGAACGTTATCGGCCCGCGCGACGTTAGACGGAACGCGTCGCCGTCCACGGAGTCGATAAGGTTGCTCTCTATTAGCACACGCTTTGGCGAGCTCACGAGGAAACTCAAACTCGACAAACGATCCACGGTGACGCCCTCCATCCGGAACAGATTGTTTATCTCCACGTCGGAGAGGAATCTGCTCGGCACGAAGCCTATCGAGCCGCCCTTTAGCACAAAGTTCAAAGTGGAGAACTTTTTGAAAGCTTGGATTTCGATATTGCCGAACACGTTGTTGGTGAGTTCGACATTCTTGACGCCGGTAAGGCTGGAGAATGCGAACGGCTTCAGGTTGTCGATACGGCTGTCGCTGATGACGACGTCGTTGACGCGGCCCTGCACCGCGTGCGAGGCGATCTCGTTGACAGTGCTGTTGTGGATGAGTATCCGTATTCCCGGGTTCATCTCGCTGTCCGCGGCGAAGGGAGCCCAGGCGAGGGCGCGGGCGTCGACCACCGCGTGCGCCACGTTTCTGATCTCCACGCTGCGCAGTTGCACCAGCCCGCGCACCGTGTCGCTCAGGAAGTGGACGCGCGCGCAGCCGTCGATTATGATGCCGGTGGCGGTCGAGGGCACGCGGTACGCCCCGTCCGGGCGCAGGGTCACCTCCTGTGCCAATTGCAAATTGGGCCAATTACGAACTTGCAATAAACTATGGACTGTACACATTACCTCATATTAACATGTTGGTGGTGTATTAAGTGGGAAATATGCGAATAATTATGCGAGATCTACCTAGATTCTTTTAATACTCTTACACGCAGTGCTGCGTGGCTATCGTAGTGTATTATCATGAGGGCAAACTAAAGTAACCCGTGCGTTTAGTAGTCGATTGCTGGGGATATCCGATGGGGGGAATCGGCTAGAGTGAATAGTGCATACATCGTAATCGGCGGTGCAGTTGCAAATGAGTCGCGTGAAGGAGTCGCACCGGCAGGCCTCGTCGTTGCAGAGTGTGGGCGCGGGCTGGCTGAGGCCGCGGGTCGCCAGCGCCACGAGCAGGTGCCAACACGCGCTCCAACGCATGCTGCACGCCCCTCCGGTTCACGTCACCATCGCAACCGATTCGCCAAACTGAAATGCGCCCCATTGCATATCACACCACGTACGAGCAACTGACATAAATCAGAGTAGGGCCATAACAAAGGTTAGCTATAGGTTTGGCGAAACAATTTGAATTAACTCTACACCATGCTACCGCCGCGGTTGCGTTACATACGAAACAAAAACGATAGTAGTAGTAAAATTAATGTAAATTACTACTGAAATTGCTACAAGTTTCACATTACTGTCTGTTTTACTTTACAAAACAAGTATAATTTTTAACAAAAAAAACCGACTTCAATCAGAAAATTATAACATTCAATGATGGCCCTCTATGTGGATGGATTTCTATGTGATGCCATCGTCAGATCCGGGTTTCCTTATCATGGTACCATCTTTGGAATATCTTCTTTCCGATAAAAAAGAGAATCATCAAAATCGGCTCATAATCGACAAAGTTATCCGCGAACACACATAAAAAGAAATAAAAATATATACGATCGAAATGAGAAATCTCCTCCTTTTTTGAAGTCGGTTAAAATGTCTCCTCACGTTTTTGTTACTTTAAAATTAAGTATCGGACGGAGTATTAGTGAGCAATTGTGTAAAAGATCTTTAATGTTGTTGCCCGAAAGGCCAAGGATTAAAACATGTTACAAAATGCGTAATTTAATACATTAGTCATCCGTATTTACTCGGGAGCATTAAGCGCTAAAGCATGTTTAGTGTACATTCGCTATACTTACAGTTAACTTTTGAGACGTTCTTGATAAATTAGTAAACCACTGGCGGAGTGCTAATTGAATCGGTTTGAGGAACTTCACAGGTTATTTTATAAGTGAAAAATGGCACAATGAATTCCTCTCTTGACACGGGCCGCGGTCGATGTGAGTCAGTTAGGTATCGCGTTATCAGTCCCCTTATCAGATAGGTGGGTAGGTGCCGGCCAGTCACGGCTCTTCGACTTGCGCGATAGTGATTTTAGCAAGGCTATCGCGGCCGATAGCGCGCTCGTCAGGACGCGTCGTGCGACGCACCGTCGACCCTTTTCCGCTTACATTAGTTGCCGCACCGGGAAGTGAGATTATTTTTGAGCAGCGCCGTTATCATCTCGTTACACCAGAATCTTGACTGGGGTACAGGAGCAAGGTTCAAATTTTACGAAAAAAAGAGGAAAGGTAATAGATAAAGAAAAGATAAATATTTTCCAGATTTCGTAAATTATGAATTACTAATGCATTTGAGATTTTTATAGTGTAAGGTTCATCCGTTTCTCAAATGGGGAGTTGTAGTTGCCCGGTTTTTGTATTACTTATTATAATAAACAAATTGATTTTCTATATGTCATTGATATGGACAGGAGAAAAAGCAAAGATATTTTTTACTACAGATATGTTAACTCGCTTGTATAGAAGCGAAAACGGCCCAATTACGACGATTTCTTGGCAATCAAAGAAAGATCACAGATGCATCATGAAATTTTTTTTAAACTTATGCTAAAGTGACCAACACTTGCCACCCTCTTCGCTATCTTTTTTATACCCATCGATCGAAACGTGTCAATATGTGCTATCACTCTGTTTGGAAATAGGAACACTTTCGACCTTTGATTCTGTATGCGTATATCATATCTATAGTATAAAATACAATAATGTTTAATAATATAGATGACGCATGTCCACACTGCGTGGCATTTAAAAATTGTTCAGTTCTACATTATATGACATATACAGGGTGGCTTTCCCAAATTCACACAGGAGGTTCAGACTCGGTAGTATAACCGCTACTTGAAATAAAAACAAACTTTTTTTTCAAAACAATTGTCATTCCAGTCCCTAAAAAACAGAACTTGTTGACAATGCGGTACTCATAAATGCGTCGTATACTTACTTTTGAAACGAACTTGTGTGCGTGTAAGTTATAAATGATCGCACGTAAAATAAATGAGTTGCCCATAAATCAAGCACTTTTTGAGATAAGTTCAAATGAATGTATTTCATTAATTACAAGTGATTTTAAATATTTATAATTTTTTATATAATATTATTTATGTCTCGAATTTAATAAAAAAAAATGAATATACTTAGAAAAGCCTCCCTGTATAAGTGAATGTGACATATGATATAGAACGTATGTTACAGAAAGAAATAGCAGTCTATAGGATTGCAATCAAATTCTACCAATTGGTGTAATATGAGTGACTCAGTTTCGGTGAGCACGAGCAATAAAAAAACTAGTAGATGAATTCTTTAAACCGAGTACAGTGACAGGATCGCTTCGGATGTTCATTTATAGCCAGAGCGGTATTCGCCGATCAATATGCTTGCATATGCATAAAGCAAGAGTCTGATATTAATGGGAGAGGATGCTTGACGCGGCCGTCGGCTACGCCAATAACGAAGTGCCACGGGCTATTTTCGCGTTCGCGCGACACTATGGATTTATGTTCGCATTCACGCGATCACACCAGTCGCAGAATTCCCGGCAGCCACTCTAAATTTGAATGTTAAACCGTGCCCTAAAATTATTGGAAGGGGGTTTTCTTGTCGCTCTGTCTTTCGTCGTATATTTATAAGCGCTAACTATACTCCTGCCTACACGTACATCTAATTTTTGTATGGAAATGAAACGCTCGGGTGAAGAAAAAATCTTTTGTTCTTACTACGGCGCCTCAATCTTTTGCTTCATAACTCCTGATTGTGGGGCTATCTCCTTAGACTTAAAATTTCGGCCCCTAAACTTCGCACTGCATCTAAATTATTAAATATATTATACTTCGTTTTACGAACCGTTCCGCAAGGTTATAAATAGAGAAGAACTACGCAAACGACTTTCTCGATGATTCAATTTTATTTTTCTATCCCCTCGGCGGTACTTAAATGCATCACCGTTTGCCCTCAACATAATCAAATTTCTTGACAGCGTGATGTGCCGTCTGCCTCATTCAACTGGCGGTAATCGATTTTAAATAAATTTTACCGCAGTCATATTTCCATAAGATTTTTTTTCCATCTTTACATTTCGCAGTTTGACTGTTATGATTTTTAAAAGCTTTCGTATCAAGATCTTTCTCCTCCTTCCAATTGGAGTTAGCTCGTATAGTTAAAAGTCACTTGGTAACACATTATTTATTTATTTATTTATTATTATACTAATTGTACTAAAAAATTTAGTTTAATTGAACTAAAATTTGTAGTAAAGTCTACCATACTAACGAGACCTAAGTGGTTTAGTACTTGTCACAACTTTATAGATTGAAAGTCCACAAGTCATATTACGAACGCCACCAAAGTTGTTGCGAACGGATTCCGAAAGTTGTACCGGCAACTCAAGTTTACTGAAGTTAATGTTTGGTTAATATAAGCAAGTTTGAATTGTGCTTTGTGAACCAATAGTTGCTTGTACGCCTCACACGGGCTGGGCATAGGTTTCCACTGACGTCACGCCGAGGTGCGCTCGTTGCCGCGCTCAAAATGCGATTCGTGCACAATTTGCAACATAGTCACGATAACGACAACATTGAGTTAGCGCGAACAAAGTCGCAATCATGGCACTAGTACATGAGGCCGTTTTAAATAAGCGGCATAATACGGTGTCAGAGCGGCTTTAGCTTAGCTTTTTAATCCATCAAGAATACTTTATCAGTGTTCTTTGTCTGTAATTTTATGTTCGACTCGCCATGTTATGCATGGGTCGTGCTTATAAAGGTTCTCTTCAATAAATTTTGTTTACAACTTGCATAACTTCTGCCATTTTCTTCGCCTTGTATTTAAACGTCTATCATGGCAATTAGCTTTCATGATTTGCATTATAAACTACAATGAAGTAAGTAGTATCGTAATAGACAAAGAAACTCCAAAAATCCTCTGCTTCCTCTGTATTCTTATATACTGTTATTTTATTCATAAACATTAGTGTTATTGAATTTAAAATTTTGATATTGACATCGGTAATGGGTGAACTTTGTAGAGTAACAATGTTAAATCCACTCACAACGCATCACGAGCGGCACACGAGGCTGAAAGTTCCCGATATCGTGCGGTCAGCTGCTATTTAAACATAATATAATGAATGTGGTTTTAACAAAAATGTGGATATTCAATAACATGCTTTCACCTGAACGTATTTATCTTCCACGCGAATTCACTTCGTGTGCGCCGGTACTGTGAACTGTCAGTTATCTGTTTCAAGCATTAATTTTACAAAGTAAATCTATACAATCTGCCCTTGCCGGGTGATGTTTTGATTATCGGTTTTCATGAAAGTACAAAACTTGCATGGAATCAGATGTCGTACAGAGCTGCAGTCCTACGTGCTTCATAAAAATAACATACACACTTTATACTGATCGAACGACAACTATTGACTACTTGACCTCGAGAAGGACAATGCCCTACACTTGGCTGTTTTTATTATATCTTCTTTATTATATAATTTCCGCTTTAGGTACTTGTTGCTTATATATTTAAATATTCTCATTGACTGCTGGGCAAAGCCGTCCTCTGTACAGGCCGTGTTAGGGCATAGGCCACGCGTGGGGTCGCGACCCCTCTACGGATTGACCTACATACCTTCGAAATTTTTTCTTTGGTTATTCAAAAATATGCGGTTTTTTTCAAGATGTTTTCGAAGAAGTCTGCACTTGAAGTTGTGATTATCAATTTCATTCCGGCACCGTAAACTGAGCTCAGGTTGCTTTAGTAAATTGAATTAAAAAGTAGCGCCCGAACACTGAGCTATCACGGCTCATTTATATATCAACTTCAAATCATTTGTATATTTTCCCATTAACTTTACAGTTTGAAATTATCAATTTGTGTCTAGTAGATGCCAAGTAATTAAATTGAAAACTAAGTCACGTGTATGCACACGTGTATGTACATTTGTGAAGCGATATAAAATGTATTTCAACCTTTTACTATTTGACCGACCGACTTAATTAGAGCTTTTAGAAGTTGTCTGTCTATGGGGATGCAGTTTTA